GGAGTATATTTTGATATTTAGAGTTTATGATTATTTATGGTATATGCTTATGAGAGTTGCTAGTTATACTATGAATATATATATATTTGGGTATTGAGTTATGGACACTATTAATGTCTGGATGTCTACGTATATGGGATTGGTGCATTGGAATATTATTATTATGAATATAAATAAAATGAATGTAAATGTAAGTAAATTTAGGTTTTAACCATAAAAAAAAATTTCACTTTTGGAAAAAGCCAAAGCTTTTTCAAAAAAGACAGAAAAACTTCTCAACTTTAAAATCAAAGACATGCAAATGTAAAGGATTCCTTAGGAAATCAAAAAATAAATAAGGGCAATTTTGTCCATTTTGGCTTCTTTTACAAAATTTCTCTCTCCTTTGGGTTTTTCCAAAGTCTCCCATCTATTATGTATATGGGATTGTTTGGAAATGTGTTATGTTATTTGGGTAGGGTTGTGGTTTATGTCAGTTTGGAGTGCTATTAGCACCACCTTATGTACCTTCCTATGCACTTGGTTGGGTGTCACTGAAGGCCTTTGGTTGGGCAGTCTGTGCGAGTAGGACTTAGCGCAGATGCACTAGTATTGAGAAATTTGTTGTGCGGGCTGGTGGGTGATAGTCCCCCTATTGAACGGCTCGTCCCTTTCCACATGGTTATTGAGGGATCTTCCATGTGGTCTAGTAAAAAAATCCTCATGTTGGATTGTTTCTCCTATACAAGTTTGGTAGTGGTTTTATCTATATGTGTAGTAAAGTGGGTCCGACATTGGGTAGATGTCGGATAGGAAGCAGGGTTCGTCATGGATTTCGAGGGGGAATCTGAGGTGGTCATGTCATCCTTACATCATGCTCTACCTGTTTATGTGCTTAGTTTATGTTAATTTTGAGGTTTATAGATTGATTCCTAACCCCCAATTATGCCGACAGTTTCGGCTTCGATCATGCTAGTTCCGATTAGTTTTTGGCCTTGGTTCAAGAACAAAAGCTGATCCCCTATGTAGCCTGCTTCTAATGGTATGGGTATTTACTAGCGATTTGGAGTTTTCCAGTCGCTGGAAATTACACGAGGCACCCACGAGCTACCAGCAGCTGATGGCAGCGCGTGGACCACTTTGTGGCGGCCCATTAGGTCCTAAAATGTTCCCCTTGTCGTCTTGAGCACGACGGTGTGCTCGAATTTGAAATTGGTTACCGTTTGACAGTCGAATGGATACTGCATGTATATGAACTTTCGAATCGGAAATCGGAGGTCGTGGGCTCCGTGGGCCTAATTGACCCACATGGGAAGTTTTACTGCTCGGTTGAGCATGAATCTTCTGAGATCGTCTCATCCCTCGGGAAGTATTAGAATGACCCTATAAACCTTCTTAAAGGTTGTGCACACTTTGAGACCCAAGAGCTAAAGTTTTGAGTTAAAGTTCATAGTTGAGTATGTTTATTAATTAAGCCCGTTTATTCTCTCAAATATGTACTCTTACTTTGCGTACTCCAGATGGGAAACAATCCAACAGGGGGATTGTTTGACTAGACCACATGGGAAAATCCTCAATAGCCATATCATTAGGGATGAGCTATCCAACTGGGGGACTGGGCTCCCAGACACGCACAGCAAAATCCTCAATACTCGTGTAACTGAACTAAGTTCTACGCATGCAGACTGCTCGACAAGGGCCTATGGTAACACCCTTTCAAAGGTGCCCATGTTTCGACATATCTAAGTATCCAAGTGCCGGAGAGGTATATAGGGTGGTGCTATCAACACACCAATATAACATATCCCATATCCTAAATCATATACCAAAACCATATCCCAAATTCCAAATATTCCAATGTACCCAATCTCATATACATTGACATCCAGACAATAATAGCATCCATAACTCAATACCCAAATATTTATATATAATATAGATAACCAACTCCCACAAATGATACAAAACCAAAGTTATGACAATATAATAATTTCATAGTCCAAATAGTTATAAATAAAAAAATAAAATATATCTATGCATGACATTCCATTTTGGAAAATAATGATCATCTAAAAACAAAGTCCACTCACAGATAATCCAAAGCTGCTTGACCCTGAGAAGGTCCCGCCTATTGAGCTCGTGGAGCATGAGTACCTATTTTGAAAGATAAGGACTTATAATTAAAACGAGGAAACCAACCACGAACTTAAATTCAACTCCTAAGTTCTCGGGATTCAAAGTGTGTGTGCACGACTATCGGGGAGTTGCTAAGGCCAATCTAACGCTTTTCAAAAGGTGAAACGATCTCACAGTCAACCGAATGGTCAAACTTTCCATATTGATCAACCGGGCCAGCGGGGCCTGCGACCTTCGATTTCCAATTCGAAAGTTCCAACGTGATCCTAGAGGTACAGAGAACAACATATTTGAAATTGGGACCGATCGAGCAATCCAAACCCATCGACCCGAGTATCGCATAATAGGTGCAATATCCATTCGATTGTCAAACGATAACAAATTCCAAATCCGAGCATACCGTCATGCTCAGGACAACATGTGGTGACTTGAGAAAATTTCGGCTACAGAAAATTCTCGAAACACCCAACAATAATTATACCAAAAGAACAAGTACAACTAGAGGTGCATTTTTAGTTCTTGGACCACGGCTAAAAACTAACTAGAAATAGCTGAATCAAAGCGGGAATAGTGCGGTTTTGGTCGGAACTTCTCGGCCTCGAAACGGCGGTGACAACCACCATTACTGTCGCGCTACCTAGGGGAAAGCAAGAGGGAGGAGAGAGCTACTTGATCCAAGTGGTGGCGCAACCTGAAGTGGCCTGAAACATCTTTAACAATGAGGGAGGTCTCTGCCGAAACTTCCAATCTATATCGTCGACTATTCTGGTGATTTCGAGCTATGAAAAGTATTGGGTTGGGAAGAGGAGAGAGAGACGATAATTTTGGGACCAATTTCGTTGAATTTAGTTGCCGAAAGGCAACGATCTCGCAGGTCAAAGTGGCGGCATTGCGGGGGGAAGAGAGAGAGAGAAAGTGTCGGGGAGAGAGGAAATGAGAGAGAAAAGGAGCTTACTAGTTTTTAAAATCTTGACTTTGCAAAAATTACGGTTGTGCCACTATATTTTCGTAGATCATAACTTCTTTGTTAAAACTCCAATTTGGGCCCACTATATGTCTATGAACTCGGGAGAGCAAGCTCTATGTAATGGTGTCACTCAAATCCCCAAACTCCTTCTAGATTAAAAAGTGACTAAAGTGACCCTATCCCCAAGGTAAAAATTGTAATTTCACACTTAAATAAATTGAATAAAACGGTTAAACTGGGTCGGGGTGTTACATAAAACCCATGGACATGTGACAGGTTCCATCTCGAATTCCTTAGAATCCTTGACGGATCCTATGGTTTTTTTCAACATCTAACCGATGCCGAGCCCACTTACTAATTTCAAATATCCTCTTCCCCTAAAACAAAGGAAAAGAGGACTGAGACTTCTACCAAAATTTCGACAAAGTCTCCCTTGAAAAACGGACGTGTGGGTATAGTAACCCGAGAAGGTACGTATGATGGTAAGGTTCACAACCCCTATATATAATATAAATATAATATACCCTCCTTTAATTCAGTTTTCCCAAATATTTATTCATAATCTAGAAAATAAGCTATCACAAGCATAAATTCCATAAAGACCCAAAATATTCATAGCCTCAATAATAAAAAATAATCCAATTTAAATGTATGATAATCTAATCTTTGAAAATAATGCTTGATCAAAACAAAGTCCACTCACTTCATAATAATCTTATCTGAAACTAAGTTCTCAATTTCACGTTATGCAAATTTAATACATCCCAATAATATCATAGCTAAAACAATAACATCCAGTAGACTGAATTCAAACTTAACAGTTATTAGCATAGACCGAAATACAAATCCGCATACTCTAATAATAATAATACCATTAATAATAATAACAATAATAGCGATAGTAACCCCCGAAAATCCCAAATCACATTCTAAGAGTCGAGACTAGCCCGAGCATCCTCCCACACACCGGCAACCCATCGTACGCGTGGGCGACATTTGTAACAATTTAGGGGAGGTACATATCCTGATGCAAAATTCCAATTTTCGAAACAAATCGTTTTCATATGACATAAATATATATAATAAAATAACACACATACTTCCTTTTTGAAAACCATAATAAAACCATAATTAAGAAAAACACCAAAACTAAATAAGCCCATTCGATTTTATTAATATTCAAAACACTAATCATATACTTAGGAAATATACAATCTTTGAATGCCGAAATTTGAAAATTCCGATAAATGCCGAACATTCCAAAATTCCGAAGTTCTCCGAATCCATTCCGATCCGATTTTTCCAATTTTTTCTGAAAAATTCCTAATTTCTAGTTATAATTGCATTATTTTTAATTTATAGGTCTTATATATGTTTCATTTGTAGAGCAATTGTAGGATTGACAATTGTAGTATTCCAACTTGAAAATTGTAGTGTTCCAATTGTCTAGAGCAAGATTAACGTCTACCACTCCTTATACATGTTCATGACCCACTATAATCTAAAACCAATGTGATGGTCACTCGGCTATAACTTGAGCATCAATTGATGAATGCGAATCCATCTTTACGATCAAATCAAAATTCACATGAGCAAAATATAAATATATAACATGTAGGATAAATTACTTTGATTAAGAATCAATATATTATAAAGAAAAAATCTGGATGGTGTGGGGTATTGCAACAAAGGAAGAGAGCTCTAATGGAGAATATATATCGGATAAATGATTTAGTGCAAACCCAGAAAAATGATTTCGCTCTCTAGGGTTTGCCCCTTTGCTTTGTATGTTACTTGAACTCTGTGCGTTTTTTATTTAATCTTTTATGAGTTATATTGGCCTTGTTTGGTTTCTGGTTTACGTGGATTTTGGTGCTTGATAGATTGATTTAGTTTCACTTGTCTCACAGCAAACATCATGTCAGGCGACAATACGTTTGAGGTGACGGACGATTTTGTAGAAGATGTAAGTATTAGATTTTTGTATTTGCACCTCATTCGAACAATGTAAAATTGAGTTGCAATTACAAAACAAACTTCCACTCTCCTTCCTATTTCGCAGTATCTGTTTGATTTCCTATTTTTCTTTCTCTCTTACTCTGATAAAGAAATCTAATATGCTTAACAATTTCATGCTGTTTAAAGCTATGTGTATGTATATGTATGCATCTATTTTTGTTGGTTTTTTGGATGCAATATCTGCAGACCTTTGATAAGCTTTTAAAGCTTATTTGGGAGAATGATCTGGAGCTGTCTAAAGAGAAGCCTAAGACAGTTATGGGGCATCAACTATATGTTAGTCAGGGCAAAAAGGAAACTTCTTTTCTGAATTTCGTGGATGTGTGCAAGAAGTAGGTTTCAGTTCCCTTTACTTTGTCCATTCAAATCTCTTCTGACCGTTGCTCATTTTACCTTATATATCCCTCTCCCATAGAGGTGTTTCTATAGATTTAGTGGCTGTCCATAATTGTAAAAAATAAAAGATTACGTAGCATATTCCCTGATTATATAATGAATTAATATACCAATTTATTACTTTAATAATCCCATCTTCCTTAAAATTACAGGATGCATAGGCAGCCAGATCACGTCATGGCTTTCTTGCTTGCCGAACTGGGGGCAAGCGGATCACTTCATAAGCAACGGAGGTTATATGTGGATGGAAGCTTTCCTGCAGAGGACTTTGAGGAAATACTGCGGCGATATGCCAGTGAGTACTTTGTTTTGTGGTTTGATTGATTGATTGATTTATTTATTGATCGGAGAGTGTTTGTCCTTTACTATTTGCTTTCTTGTGTTGCGCACTTGTTACCATATTCTCTCTCTCTCTCTCTCTTTTTTTCTTTTCTTATGACACTGTTGTTATTTTCAGTTGAATATGTCTTTTGCGTTGGGTGCAAAAGTCCAGACACTACACTTTCAGAGGATAATTGTCTATTCTTTCTCCGATGCGAGAAGGTAACAATCATACAATGCCGTCAGCATCTCTAATATTAGTTGGTCATTGATTTTTTGATTTTAGTAGTTGTGCTACTCACGTCAATTTTGGAATCCTATCCCTGAGACTGGCATCCTCTTGAATTCATGGCTTAGGAGCAGTTGGATTCATTCATACAAAGTTGTTAGCGTACAAACTATAAGAAAATAGAGAATGTTTTTAGCACTTTCATGCCGCAATACATTATCTTGTTGAAGAGGCATATGATGATGATACGGCGATTTGCCGTCATTCTCTGATGGGTGTTTACCCATAGTTTCTACCTTATATAGCTTCGAAGCTTGTATGTCACGTCTCTGGTTTTTCAATCCTGTATATAGTTTGAGTTATCTTGCCGTCTTTCAGTTTCCAGTTAATTGATTTAGTAATTCATTTTATTGCAGTGTGGTGTCGTGCAATCAGTTGCTCCTGCCCAGGACAAGGTGGCCGCCGATGTAAGTTCTTGTCATACCAACTAATTATAGTCTGCAAAAGATATTATCTAATTTCCCTGACACAGTTTTAGCGTAAAAAGAGGATGGGATAGTGTTACAAATGGAAAAAGGTATTGAAAGTGGAAAATTAATGGTGATCAAATAAGAACCCAAATGGAAAAAGGTATTGATTCATCGTAGAGAGGAAAGCTTTCCTAGATTGGTGTGGTGCATTCTACTAAGATTTTTGTGATTACCTGGCGAGAATGTGATGGGGTTCAGGTTGCTAGTCCAGTGAGCTATACCTAGTCGATGTCTTGATTCTCTTGGACTATAGCCAAGTATTGTGGTTTTTCATCCCTTCTATTTTCTCTCAGTTTTTTGTTTTGTTTTCCGGGTTGCAGATTTCCCCTTTTGATCCTACTGAAAAGAAGAAAAAGAAGAAAAGGAAGAAAAAGCAGAAACAAGGTATTTTGGCCATTGATTTCTATGTACAGTTCTCATACTATGCTCTGCATGCGTCTCTTCTGGTGGTACTCATTTTATATTTCTGGCCTTTTAGTGCGCGTCGGTGAGGATGAAGAAGGAATTACATGGCCGGTAAGTATGCAAGGTGACGCGCTCCAGATGTTTCATTCTGGGTGAGTCTATACTCATCTCTCCCAACCGGGCCGGCCTTCCGTGTGAATTAGCTTTTCTATCCATTTTCAGAAACAAATTTAAAATTACGGGCACTGAAACTTTTGGACCCCCATTATTGTTGGACGTATTAAGTAGATGGTGCTGTGTTGGTCTATCGTGTAATCTTCTTCGTAGATGAACAATCTCAGGCAAGTTTGTCCAAAAAAAAAATCTTATGCAAGTACAGTTTTGAATTTAAAATTTGGTTTTTGATTGAAAATATAATAAAAGCTTAATCCTGATCCTCTCCGCTTTAGCATGGTGAAAGAATATATATAATCATAAGAGGACAAATATGTGAATCCACTGAAAACGACAAAATAGTCCTTTACTCCTAGGTGAATTGTTTCCACTTTTTTGTTTCTTTTCTGAAAGATTATTTATTTTATTTACTTATTTTGCTTCTAGTTAAATTGTTTTCTCTAATGTCATTGACTTGACTTGGATTCTTGCATCTGCCCATATGAGTAAACCAGATCAATTTGTGTGAAACATGGATAATATATATATATATATTTTTCAGCCAATTAAGGTATGTTAATTTTGTTTTTACTGGGTATATTGTGATTGGCCGAAAATAGCACTTGCATATAGTGAAACAGTGTTATCGTAGTATTCTATAATTTTTTCAGTTCCACATGAATGTTTCTCCAAGTAACACATATAATATATCAAATATATAATAAAGCTACTTTAGTTCTAGGTTGCCTTAGAGGCTTTTCGTAGTAATTTTTGGGTCTCATAAAAAAAACAAAACAAAACTTAACTTGGGAAGTCATTAGCATTTTAAAAAATCAGAAATACCTAGTGTTATTAATAAAAAAATGCAAAAACTAACTAACATTGTCATGGTCCAAGGCTCAACGTAAACGATCATCCTCAACATAAGCAGAAAAGCCTTGGCAAAAAACAAAGAAAAGCAGAAAAAGCTATCAATTTGATGCAATCCTATAGAAAGCTTATGCCTGAAATTAGCCATATGATCAACATCACGATTTTTCTCTATGTACACTTAATACAACACTGCCAATCTCTGCCTGACACCTCTTTGCATCCACTAATCAAACTGAACAAGAGATGAGAACCATCAAACTCATGAGAATGTATTAAGACATTCTAGTGAATACGAGGTTCAACATACTGTATCATCATTAGATATCTTGTCGTTTCAGGAGAAAAATTTGTATGTCACGTATTTGTATTTGTAGCGGGTAAAATTTAAAAGCATTGTGCTATCGACCATCAGTCCATCACAACAAATAACTAATGCGATTGGTCTCCATCCATTCCGAGGAATACAATTGGAGGGTTGTGAGCATAGTTATCTTTCCAACAAAGGGACGATAGCAGCAGGTGCAATTCAAATTTGGTTCAAGTTAAAACTTGTGCAACCAATCAGTTCCATTTTTGGCAAGTGGTCCTGGCAAATTGGAATTGTTAATGTTTGATTTGATTTGAACACGGTGCATGTTTCACTCCGGTGCCAGAGAAAACCATTAAAACGTAATTAATGAGACTCACAAAAAAGGGTACGTGAAGACCGAGAGAATCAGCTGCAGAGAAAGAAGCCTGAGGAATGAGGTTGTCAGCGTCTCAGTGTTTTTTGTGTTTTTTTTTTTTGAATTTTGTTATTAATGTTGCAATTTATTAAACATTTGTGAACCCATAAATAAACGGACTTCTTCAACGGCACGGACCACTTCATTGATTAATAATTTATTTTTCAATCTCAAAGTACAAAACAGACAGTGATTGATTGACAACAACAACCACCAACCTTGGTATGTGCGGCTCCAATAAAAAATTAGGCTTAAAATTTAAATTATTTATTTATTTTCAATTCAAAACGCAGGTTCTGGCGATATGTCATTTACACATCTCTTTTCAATTCAAAACGCAGGTTCTAAGCAGTGTTTGTTTTGCAATTTTAGCACTTAGACAAATGAGCATGAGATCCTTGTTCATGTTTGGCAAGTGATGCATTTGAAACGATATGTGATTTTCAAGGTAGTGTTTGTTTAGTAACATGAAATGTAGCACAATGTTTGGGTCTTGAATAATAACGGCATTTTCATCCGTACAACTTTATGTGGCTTAATAACATCATTACACATGTGCAATTTATATCGACTAAATTTATTGAACATGCAACCAAGCACCCACTTTTTTATTTCATGTACTAGCCTAAACACTAAACATTCAATTAAATTTTAGAAATAATGACACGTGTAGCAATATTGTTGGTGGTAAGGATGAGAAACACGCAAGTATATTGTCCTCAAATTTATATTTATAACTAAATGCCTAATCTACTTACCCTTTTGCCCGCTAGGCATTCCTTACTTAATTATTCCAAACTTAGGTTAAACTCATTTAACCTCGAGGAGGATGGGGCCAGATTCTCCACTACCATCTAATATATATGAATATAAATATAATAGTGGGTTTGGCCATTTTCAAATTTGAAGCATGATTTGGACCTCTAGATACTATTTAAAATTAACTTAGTGTGTTGTTTAATAAACTAATGCTAAAACCTATGAGTTTTTTAGCTCAAATGGCTAGGGTAAAATAGCAAATGATATGTTCTAATAAGCTCGATCAAAAGAAATAACTTCGTTCAATATATATGTCAGACTATGTAAGCGAACTTGCATAAAGAAAGGACGAGACATCTCTCTCATTTCTTGTTTAACATTTGTAATAGTTTGAATTTTTATAAAGTTGTGATATGCGTACTACCAATTTGAATTTTTACTCGGTGGATTAAAACATGGTGATGCTTTATTAAGTGTTGACCACTTCTATGTATAAAAATTGAAGATAACAAACAAGAAGGACAAAGCAAGGACGAAGTGGTCATAATATAACATAAGGAACAAACATTAAATATGACTATGAAGTTCATTTCAAATTCCTATAAAAAAAAATTAAAAAAAATGAAGACAAGTACAACGAAGAGGAAATAAATTTGTCCAAACTGAACTGCAACCGCAGCTTTCATTTGAAATCCCTGTTTCTTGCACTTCACGAGGTTGCACGCTCTCTCTCTCTCTCAAAGTGTTCTCCCCCAGATGTTAAGTTATACAAACAAGTAGCCTTAACGTCTAGCTTTCTTTCATTTTCAAACCCCAAAACAAACGCAAAGTTTGTGTCTTTTTCAACTCATTTTAACTCATCAGTTCAATTGACTCAAATGTCATCTGCAACAACAGTAACAGGAGGAGCAACAAGAAGACCAAAATGGCAGTACCCACCAGCACCACCAACCCCAAAAATTCTCAACTTTCCGCGTAGGCCTCGGCGGAGAGCATCCAAGAGCGTTCATGGTGGAAGACCCAATTCAGGGGAGGCCAAGAAGGACAACAAGGGCAAGCTGGAAGCTCTGTTTGACCAAGAACGAGTTTTTTCCAGGGTCAGTTTGCCCATTGTGCTTTTTGAGTATGGTGATCGGGAAAGTGAGTGCAGGAGAGAGAGGGTTAAAGAGGGTGAGGATGGTGGTGATGAAGTGGTGGAAGAGGAGAAGTGGAGATTTCAGGCTGAGATGTTGAGGGCAGAGTGCAATTTATTGAGGATGGAGAAAGAGATTGCAGTTAAGAAGATGGAGAGGGTCAAGGTGAAGGTGGAGAGGACTCTTAAATCAGCTGTTCACACTCTTGTTTCTGTTAGTCTCCTTCTCTCTTAAATCAGCTGTTCACACTCTTGTTTCTGTTAGTCTCCTTCTTCTTCTCTCTCTCTCTCTCTCTCTCTCTCTCTCTCTCTCTCTCTCTCTAGGATTATTTGTTTTCTTTGGTTTTTTGAGTGGTCTGTTTGTTTCATTGAAGTTTAAAAACTCATTTGGAAACTCCAGTAACCTCAAATTCAAAGTGTTGTGCCTGGCACAAGTTTTTGGATGGATAGATGTATTAGGTTTCAAAAGCAGGACTATTTTATCCTGTCTTATGTTTGATCAAGTAAAAAAGGAGTGGAAAACAAACAGTTTATCTGGTTTGAATATTACAGCTTCTTCGTTTCAACAGTATCAGTATGCTTTTTGGTTGTTCTTCTTTTCAATTTCTTGGATTACTTGGTGATTTTGTATCCATTTCTTAACAAGAAATTACAGGGAAAGAAAAGCAATGAACACATTGAAGTCAACTTGCTTTGGTATTTTTAGTTTTTTCTATTACTATGTGCTAAACATAATTTTGCATTCTGTTTTTTAATTATTTTCACGAATATATTACATTATATGGTTCGTCTGTGACATGTTTAATGCTGTGATTGGTTTTCAGGGGAGAAAGAAGATTTGCGAAGGAAAGAATGCAAGTATGGTATTGGAGGAAGAACTTCAACACTTGGCAGAAAAGCTAGAGAAGTTGCAAAGGAATTTAGGAGTTAAGGATTCGGAGGTTCGAAACACTAGTAATTTTGATAAACAAGCGTATCTTCTTCAAAGAAAGCTACAGAAGTTCAGACGAACATCGGATGAGATATGTGTCAAGGAGATCCAAGAGATGGCAGAAGCAAGCTTTTCGATCAAAACAAGCTCTAGAGTAAATGAGAACTTGCTTTCGAGTGGCAAAAGTAATGTAAGGATTATCTGTCCTTCCTTCAAACTAAAGTGGTTGATCTTGCTTTGATATACAATTCTGTTCTGCAATTCCCCAACTCCCATATTTAGTTGCCAAGACAACATGAGAATAGCAAAGAGAAATGTTTGTATACTTCAAATTCACAAAGTGATTGCAGACTTAAAGTCTTTGATTTGTCAAATGATAGAAATTCTCAAAACCCAAGTGAGGCATTGTTTTATTTGCATAATATTTGTTTTTGCCTAATCTGGTTCTGTTAAAAAACTATGCAGGTAGACATTCTCAGAAGGAAAATGGAGGGATTGTCAAATGGGATGCTATTAGAGAGGATGAAGGAAGAGTATGGTTCAATGCTGTCTACAGCCAACAGTTCTGTTGCCAGTTCTGCCTCTTCTTCTCAGAGAATTGAAGCCACCAATTTGTCGTCTTCTTTGATACAACAATTTTACAAGGCAAGTCCTTGCTTCGGCTGTTTATTGTTTTTAGTTCCCAGTCTAAAAGAACGAATTATACTTATTTAAAAAAGCATAAAGGAAAAGAATTTGACTTAAATATGTTTGAGGTGAAATGCTCTCAATTTATGTTGGACATTCAAATGCTCGGCTCACACTTTTTGTTGATTTATCAAAAAAAGAAAAAACAAACATCTATAGCATAGAAGGATTCCCTTTAAAGGTTAGACAATTTTCTATGCAGGAGAAGGAGTGTCGTGAAGAGAATGTGTGCTCAGGACGTTGCAAGGCGATAGTTCGAAGAATTGTAGAGCAAGTTCGAGCTGAGACAGAGCAATGGTCTCAGATGCAGGAGATGCTGGGGCAGGTGAAGGAGGAGATGGAAGAATTGCATGCCTCTCGAGACTTTTGGGAAGATCGAGCGCTAGATTCTGATTATCACATCCAATCCTTACAATCCGTTGTAAGTTTCCATACCAGATTACCCTAAGTTTAAAAGGAGTGTACTCTTACAAATTTTACGCAGGCACTATATGAACACATTGACCTGAAAAGTAGTTCTATTCTGATGTCTTTCTTTTTAGTTTATATTTTCTGTTTGCTTCAATGGATGTCAGATTGAGTCTTGGAAGAGAGGCATTCATAAGGCAAAATGATTGAAAGGGTTTTTCATGATGCTTGAAGGCCTGAAACTTAGTTTATATAATTCCTTTGAAATATATTCTAAGTCATATTAATTGTTTAGGTGCAAGAATGGAAACAGAGAGCTGTCTCATCTGAAAGCAAAGCAAAGGAGTTGCAGGCACAAGTGTCTATGCTCCATGGAGAGCTTGATTGGTTGAGGAAGGAAGCAAGCATAAGAGCAATGAAGGCCAATGGTTCACCACTTATACCCCGGGATCCACAGAACGAAATGGAAAAACACGTCCTGATTTGTCACTTGAAGGAAAATCATTGTCCCAAAGAAGGTGGCAGCAAGCAAAGAAAACTAGCCATATGTACCAACAGAGTGCCTGTTGCTCCAAAAAGATTACCCTTTCGAGACATCGGAAACTCCTCATTGCCGGTGAGGCAGAACAGCGAAGCAGTCTTCCCTTTGCATTGCCCTCTACCTTCCAAGACATAGAAAAGCTTTTGAGATTGGTTGCACTGGATTCAACTTGGGAATCTTGCTCTATTCTAACCATATTAACTGCAGGGGCTCTTCCTCTTTGCTAACCATATGAATTGTACGGCATAGTTGAAGATCCATGTTCTAATTTCAATAGTAGAGGATACCATTTGTGAGGGTTGGTGAGTTGCAATCCTGAGTTTTTAATGTTTGTTGTGGTTTTTCACTTATTGCATCAATGATATGCCGCCAATTTCTGTCACAGCTAATGAGCTAGAATCAGATGGTACAAATAATAATCTAGATAAATACAATTTAAATTAATTTAGCCCAGGTCAAAGCCAAATCCATAGTCACGTAGGCAAAGTCCGCATGATTCAGTTAGCGTTTATCCGAATTCAGCTGTCCCTAATCCTAGTATATAAGATGTGGATAATACTACGGAGACCATATTTATAAGATCTATAAATGTGGTATCGTTAACATTTTGCATAACATATTAGGTCTTTACACGCATTGTCAATTATTATTGATTAGATGCTCTAATTTTTTAATGTCATGAGAGTAAGTTATGCATGTCAAGCCCTCGAAGCACACACTCTCCTGCATCCACTTAAAATCATAACGAATACATACTTTAAAATAAAATAAAATATATATGTTCTGTTTTTTTAGGATAATTTATGTTCTGTTGGTTGGGAGAATAAAGTATATATTTTTAGGGCATCTCTAAGGGAGATGTTAAATTCAGTGTGATACTTTCAGCATGTACAAAAATTAGATGAAACTCCCTCCATCCGAAATGTTAAATCCTACATCGAATAAATTTATTTCTCATGTTGTTATTTTTGGCTATTTGACTTTGTGATGTTATTTCATCATTTCATTATTTATTTTTCAATTAATGTGCCTAAAAAGTAATAAACCAATAACCATTATATACTAAAATAATATTTAATTTGACATATCGAGTCGAATATGTCCAATTGCAACATAAGCAATCAAATTCAAATTTAATGTTTGATATTTGACATCTAGATGCTCTAAAAACTAAATTAATATAAAACTTCAAAAATAAATGGGCCTGAAGAAAGAGCTGGGCTAAAAAAGCTTTGCATCAGTCTAGCCCGTTCTTCATGGGCTACGACCCACAATTGTTTTCTATGTTCCAGCATAAAACGTGCCTCCACAGTTACTTAACTGACACACCATAATCATCGCTCTCAACGTTGAAGCGTCTTCTCAAGACTCTCTCTCTCTCTCTCTCTGTCTCTCACGCGCGCGCGCACACACACACACATTTTCATTTAGCTGTGAGTTCTGCAAATTCATCTGAGTTTTTCATTCTCAATCGATCAACGTAAGGCTCTACATTTCTCGCTGCATATCTCTTCTAATGGATCTAGGGTTTCATTTAAATTTATGATTTGCTCTATGGATTTTCTGTATTTATTCCTCAATGTATTTCGTATTACAAGATTCTGTCATTGCCATTTATTTATTACGAGATTAAAAATATTGTTTTCCGTTTGGTATATATAACATTGTTTTATTATGTCCAAAACGGTTATTGCAGTCCGAAAAATGTCAGGAATTTACATCGTCGGAGCAGTCTTGGGAACCTTTGGGCTTACATATGCTTTGGACAAGGTTGTTTCTGACAAAAAGTTATTCGGAGGTAGAGTTTTGATGATAAAGTTGCTTGATGAAACTGTGTTTATGTGAAAATAAAATAATTTAACCTAGATGATAAATAACCAGGCAATACTCTGGTGACCATTTCGAAGTGATCAAAGGTTTCTTGCAGAACTCTTAATCAAGAATAATAAAGAACACAATGATTATGGAGAATGGAATAGAATCGAATGAAAACTGATTGATTAATTCATTATAATATTCGATTTATATACAGAATGAGTTTTCTAAAAATGGAAAACTAAAAATAACAATTGATTTTAAACCTTACATCATGTATGGTTTAAAAAGTTTAATTAATATAAACCTTTAAGTTTGAGCGGTTTCAAATCCATTAGGTTTGAACCACAAACTTTTAATGGGTTTATAATAATTAAATAAAATGACAATTAAGTAACATAATATGATATGGATTTAATATCATATTGTATTACGTACGGAGGATCCACCTGGATCATGGCTCCCCATTTTAGGGGAGTTGAAGCTCCTGCGAAAGCTAAAACTGCAAATGAGGGAACTCTTGAATTCCTTTTTCCTTGCGAAACCATTTTGACTTGTTTGGCAACTGCCCCTTTCTTCCAATGCGATAGGATTCTATCTAACCATGTCGACTCGTAGTGGCCTTTTTCTCAAGAATGCAGTTTGCCGTCAATGGGTCTTCCCTCTCAAGCCATAGATCGTCTAATGGGAGAAGTTGAGAATCCTTAACGTCTTCATCATCATCCAATAATGATGGCTCAAAGGGTTTTAAATACTCAGCATTTATTACTGAATACATTTGCATGTAAGGTGGCAGCTTAAGTCAAAATGCATTCTCTCCAATCTTTTCCAAGATCTTGAATGACCCATATCGAATTGGCTTTAATTTCCTTCCTACACCATGTAATCTTTCCTTGTTGAGTTTTAACCAAACTAGATCACCTTCTTTGAAGTCATGATAGAGCCTATGTCTGTCATGTCGCGCTTTGTATCGCTGTTGTGACTTCTGTAATTGCTCATCAACTTCTTTATGGATCTTTGAAATGCGCTCCAAGAGTTGCTGTGCTTTTAGCCTATCATCATTTTCTTCTCCATTTTGCTTGTCACCAACTGAAAGGCCATATCAAATGGACTTGAAGGTAGGTAGCCCAAACAGACTTCAAAAGGTGACTTCAAAATAGAACTATGAATTGCCATATTAAAGGCAAATTGTAGATAAGGTAAACTCGCATCCCAAGTACAAGGATGCTTAGAGTTATATCCTCTCAATAGATGTACTATGGTCCGATTTACCACTTCTGTTTGTCCATCCGTTTGAGGATGAAAAGCAGTACTATGTTTCAGCTTTGTGTCCATCAATCCCTATAAAGACTTCCAAAAGTGACCAAGAAATCTGCTATCTCGATCCGAAATGATAGAAGTAGGTAACCCGAAATGTTTCCAAACATGGTGGAAAAACAACTTTGCGGCACCTTCTCCTGAAATTGTCTTCTTACAAGGAATTAGGATCACCATTTTGCTGAATCTGTCCACCATAACAAACAAGTAATCAAACCCAATGGTAGTTGTAGGCAAACCACCCAAGAAATCCATTGAGATACTTTCCCATGGCCTATTTGGTACCGGAAGTGGTGTATACAACTCCAACTTCCACGATGGTTTTGAGCAGTGTTTTCAAAGGCATGCCTTCAAGCGCATCGGAGCGCGCTTCAGAGCGAGGCGGCAGGAAAACGCCCGAGGCGGTCGGCTGTTTCGCGAGTTGCACGTTTAGCGATGGGAAGACGTAAGAAGGCGTTGCAAGGCGTGTTGAAGCGTAGCGAGGCGGAGCAAGGCGTGCAGATCTGTAAACCTCTGAATCAGAAGAATTTTGCTCGTCTGCAAACTGTCTGCGAGGAAGACAACCTGCTTTTGTTTTTTTGTTTTTAGGTTATTGAAACGAAGTCGTTTTGATTGTAGCGTTTAAAAACAATTTAAAAGCGAAACAACGTCACTTGGAGTGTGTTGGAAAAAAAAACCGCAAGTTTCTACTTTTTTTTCCCCCCTTACCTTTATTGTAATAAACTGAAGGCATTCTTCTTGCCTTTTCCAACTCCAGCCGGCGCTGTTCTACTTACCCCCTTTTTTTTTCCTTTTTTAAATTAATATATATTGTATAGTACATATACAACCATAATTTCTACCCTTACCAGATAATCTCCATCAATTTCAAGAATTCTCTTCATCTTTTGACTGCAAGTAAGTCATTTTATTTTTCTCTCTAATTCTTCACAACTGTAATTTCAAGTTCCGTATGTTTTTTTTTCAATTTTTTTTTAAAAATATACTAGTTGTATTATTCCTATATTTTTCTTATTAAAATAAATTAATGTTCAAAAGGCTTACGCTTCAATGCTTCAAGGCTTATGCCTCGCGTAGCGCTACTGAAAATGCCTCGCCTATACGCCTCGCCTTTGAAAACATTGGTTTTGAGGTGTTGCATAACATGCAACCTCAAATAAAACGAGAAACAAAGGGATATGCTCTGTCAAGAGACAAAGGGATTCCGTTTTCATCCAGATGGCAAAAATTGCACCCAAAACACAAAGTTCCTTCCGATGCAGTTTGGCTCTGTGCAGCCATCAGCATTCTCCTTGGACTTCCAGTCCTGAAAGTTAATGTAGTCTTCACTGCAATAACTTCCATATGCACAATTGGATGGGTAGGAGGATATGCAGTTCCAATCTTTGCAAGAATGGTAATGGCCAAGAAGAACTTCAAACCCGGGCCATTTTATTTGGGGAAAGCAAGAAGGCCAATTTGCTTTGTTGCCTTCCTGTGGATTTGTTATACCTGTTCAGTCTTCCTCCTCCCCACTTGCTACACGATTAGTTGGGATACATTCAATTATGCACCTGTTGCTTTGAGTGTAGGTTTGGGTCTGATAATGCTTTGGTGGGTGTTGGATGCAAGGAAATGATTCACAGGACCTGTTAGAAACATTGATACCGATAATGGAAAGGTTTAAACGCATTCACAAGTTTGAATTTCTTTCATAAGTAGTAGGTTCAAAGCTCCCCTTCTATGCAGCTCCTAGGATTTTGTTTTCATGTATCTATGTCCATTCATTGCATTCCAAATCTAGAATCAGTAAGCAATCCCCATTTGTTGCCTGAAGCATTATTTATATAATTGGCAAATTTATGCCACAGAACAAATGCTTATGTTGCCAACTGTGTATACACAGGCTCACACACACAAACATATGAATTATTCTGGAAGAATTCATGCCATAGTTAAATTTAAGAACAAGTAAAGCAAGTCAAGTACAGAGTTAAAAGCGGCAATCTTTAAACATGCATGTCCAGAATGCAAACTAGGGAACTACTTCCCCACCTCTAAGACTTGGAAATTGTGTAGCGGTCCAGAATGGATGTACCGCCAATCTCAATTCTGTCAACTCCTCCAATTTTTCGTAGCTTGAATTACTTCTAACATTAGCTACACATTCTCTAGCTTCCTCCACCTTGGCCCAAAAGCAGGAATCCAGAGTCAAACCTGCAAATTTGATTCTCTTACTATTCTCCTCCTCATTAACCCTCTTCTCCCTCCACCACCTGTCGAAAATCTCGAACCACCTCTCTCTTCCATGCGTCAAGTAATGACCCTTGACATGGTGCATATTAGACCAATAATACTCTGCGATCTCCAGTGGCTCTACCCTGAGTATGTAAAATTGGGAAGCATTTACCCATTTTGCTCTCCTGTGAAAATCGTTAGGCAGCTCATTTTTGTCCAACATTTCGATCATGCCATTTCAAAATGCAGAAAGTTTGTGGCGGTTCATGTTGACTTTGTGACCCCTTTTTGAGGAGCCCCTTTTCTTGAAGGCGTCGTAGTACCCTAGTTTCTCATCAGACTTATCACAGGATCCCTTGCACCATTCTATTTCAGCTCTGTAAGGTGTGATCCTGGAGAGCCGAACGGCTAAATCAGCACACTTGAGGTTTGGTCCACGTCCCAATTCTTCGCTATCTTCAGGCACGCTTTCGCAGCTTCTGAAGTTGATTCCTGAAATTCATTCGACAAGAGATGAATGGACGAAAAAAAGGTTAAAATAAATTGGAGAATGATGGTGAAATTTTAGTAACTGGCCACTTATTCCCAATGACTGCAATGCCAATGCAACCCCTGCGTCGCAGCTTGACTGAGGAAGCTCCCCTTGCATGAAGCTTCTCTTGTTTCAAAACTCTGAACAAAACTTGCCAACATATTCTCCATACTTGAGATGATCCTCAATACAGCAACTGGGGTTACCTGCAATAAACGTCAATTACATAATCTTGATGACAGATGCTGCATTGTCCACACAGATAGCCCCCTCTTGGGAGCAAAACAAGTAGTTCCCAAATGGGCAGAAGGAACTAGTTGCTCTCTCTTCCCCTGCTTCCGATGCCACTTGCAAATGAGCGGCTACAAAAATGTAAAGATGTTCATGGTGTTGTGTTAGGGTGGCGAGTTATTTGACTGCATTGTTGCTAGGGGTCATTACACGGAACGCGCCGCCACAAGCGTAATGAGGATCATTGTTGAATTTGTTCAGGTTATATTTGGCTGTACTAGTGTGGTGTTAATTTGGTTTAAATTTGGATATGGTTCTGAAAATTTTATATTTATGTTCTACATTAGAATTGTTATAAAAGTGTCATATGGTTTGTGTTATATGGAAATGTGAGATAGAGTATGCTGTTGCTATATAACATGTTGGTTTTGTTTGTGTTATGAGTTTGTGATGCTTCTTCTTCTTATCATTTACACTACGAACTTTAAATGGTAAATTGAGAAACAATTGGTGAGTTGAATGTTTTCCTCCATCCTCATATTCTATATAAGCACTTAGCAGTGCTGTTATATATTTTGTTAATTGGTTTGAGTTTTTTCGTTGTTGATGTTGAAAGTAAGTTTACTATGCAAACGATATTGGTGTCTACATTTTGTTTTCATTGACTTATATTTGGTTTAGGTAATATGCCGGTTATTTGGACATTTGGATAATATAATATGCTGGACCATGTTATTACTAGAATATAACTAGTTCCTGTGCACTGAATATACTTGTCTCCACTGTAACATAACTAGTTTCTGTGCATGTCAAATTAATTATCTGTTGCTGACACTTCTATTGATCTTCATTGATTTTCTGTTGCTGGATGATGATGTCCAGTCTTCTGTGATGTTATTGTGAAATACTCTGGTTTTTATACTTGCATTTTACATTGCAGATGTGTCATAAAAATGGAGTAATGCATAGCGATCTCAAACCAGAGAACTTTCTATTTGCAAATAAGAAGGAAAGAGCCTCTTTGAAAGCAATTGATTTTGGATTATCTGTGTTCTTTAAACCTGGAATTGCACTGCTTCATTTTCCCTGTTTAATAATTTTCCCCCATTCTTGAACTTCATATTTTAGCATCGTTATATCATCTCTATATCTGGTGTATGATAGTGTAGCTAAAGGTTGCTATATTCTGCAGATGAGCAATTTAATAAGATAGTTGGAAGTCCATATTACATGGCTTCAGAGGTTCTGAAGCGCAATTATGGACCCGAGGTTGACATCTGGAGTGCTGGAGTTATCCTGTATATTTGACTTTGTGGTGTTTCACCTTTCTGGGCAGGTTTGTCTCTTTTACCAGTATTTATATGTTGATTCTTTACAACTTGTATAGGGTTTAAAGTGGAAAGGGGATGTAGAAAATAATACTCCCATTGGAATGTTTTGCTTATCAAATATCTCTGATTGAGATCATCCTGAACAAAAATGTGCCTGCTGGTGTACTTGCTTATATTATTAGTATTTGCTCCTCATAGTTTCAAAACTTTTTCCCTGTAGAAACTGAACAAGGGGTAGCACAAGCAATTATTCGATCTGTCATTGATTTCAAGAGGGATCCTTGGCCAAGAGTTTCTGATAATGCGAAGTACCTGGTGAAGAAAATGCTTGATCCTGCTCCAAAAAAGCGGCTGACTGCCCAGGAAGTGCTTGGTAAATATGATATCTTATACAATTGAAAGATCTATTGCCTTATATGACAAGTTCTTACCAACTCTTTCTGTGTAGATCATCCTTGGATACAAAATGCCAAGAAGGCCCCAAATGTCCCACTTGGTGAGACTGTGAGAGCAAGGCTGAAACAATTTTCCATAATGAACAAGCTGAAGAAAAGAGCCCTTGGGGTAATGTTTTTAAGTTTACTTTTCATTATGAAGTTATTGATGTCCCATAGTTACAGAAATGTTGGCTCCTTGTGTCTTGTGTGAAAGTTGCCCTATATGCTATGTCTGAACTTTTGAATATTTTATACATAGGTTATAGCCGAGCATTTGTCAGTTGAGGAAGTAGCTGGCATAAAAGAGGCATTTCAAATGATGGACACTGGCAACAAGAGCAAAGTAACCATAGAAGAGCTTCGAAGTGGTGTACAACAGCTTGGGCAGCAGATTCCTGATCCAGATCTTCAAATACTAATGGAAGCTGTAAGCATCAATTTGTGCTTGGCCGACTTGTCCTTTCTTTTAACTGTGGGTTGGATGATAATATGCCTAACTCTACATCATGTTAAATCTTGAGAAGCAAACTAAAACCTGAGCTGCAATATTCATTGCAAGGATTCAGCTAAAAATAGGAATGTAAAGAAGTTCTGGCTGGGGATTGAGTATCCCAATGAGTTTTAGGATTTCTTGAACTGATCAACTGATTTATTTCTGATTCCTACAGGCTGATGTTGATGGCGATGGAGCTCTGAACTACGGAGAGTTTGTTGCAGTTACAGTTCACCTTAAAAGGATGGCCAATGATGATCACCTACATAAAGCTTTTGCATTCTTCGATCAAAACCAAAGTGGTTTCATAGAAATTGAGGAATTGTGAAATGCTTTAAATGATGATGTTGACGCAGGTGGTGAGGAAGTAATCCTTGTGATTATGTATGATGTGGACACAGACAAGGTTAGAATCACAGTTTTGAGACAATTAACTTCAAAATGTTTTATCCTTAATCCAAAAAGATTTTATCTCAGCATACATGACTAGAAGGCTCTATTTTGATGCTAGATCATCTTAGCTAACTTTCCTATATCTTCTTGCCTATTGATGCTAGAAATTGTATTTTTAGTTGCTTTCTATTGTGAAAAATACGTATCCAGAGAACAGACTGGTTTGGTTACTCCATATTCTGTTCCTTCTCTAGAATCATTGTATACTTTTTCCCTTCGATTACGCACAAATGAGGTCAGTCATGCAAACTGCGGGATCACCTCTTCTTCTGTCACTTTTTTATTCCGCTTTGTTGTTTGTTTTTCTTTGATCAATGATTGAATATCACCCTCATGGAAAGGGTTGACTTATGCAAACTGTCTTCAGTTTGTGAGATTACGTTTTAATTACTCTTGTTATGTCGCATGCATCATTGTTTTTATCGAGTTATGCTTGTATGTATCCATTTCGTTTTGTTATGTTTTAAATTTGGTGTTGTGAATGTATCATTGATATCTTGAACTGCAACTTGCTTGCATCATCTTGCAGGATGGGCGCATAAGTTACGAGGAGTTTGCTGCTATGATGAAGGCTTACAGAATGGAGAAAAGCATCCAGGCAATATTCACGGGAAAGATTTAACAGCATAAGCGTGAAGTTGTTGAGGGAAGGGTCTTTACAGTTAGCCATTGAGGGTAGATGAACCAACATTCTTTTGTTCTTTTTACGTTGTACTTTTTTGAACCAATATTTATTTGAAATTAAATTATGTTTAAAAAGTTAAAAATTCCTTTGTTTGTTGGCGGGCTTATGAATTCTCTTCTTTTCTGCTTCCCCATTCTTTTTCCTTTTTCTTAAGAAAACTTGTAATGTGGAGAGGATCAGACTGAGGATCTTAGCGTCTTTTTCAACCTCAAATTCAATAGGTGGTTGTAAATATGTGAATTAAGGCTTTTCCATTAAAAGGATTGTCTAAAGTCTATAATTGCTTAAATGTGCTTTTGGAATTTTTAATTTTGGTCATTAAAATTGTGGAATTTTTAAGACAAAGAAAGATCAATTTTTGATTTGTCTTGACTATAAAACATAAATACCAGCTTTATGCTGTCTGGTTTTGTATGCTTATTTTTTTAAGACTTGCTGAGGAACATGTTTTTTCATATATATTGCAATTGTAGCATGATGAACAAAACTCTGCTGCCAATTTATTTTGAAATGGGTGTTTGGCTTTGCACTTGGAATCAAAGTTCCTGAAAGGTGTGAATGCTGCCTCTCTGCTACGTCTCCTGCCAACTCTGGTTGCCCATCAACTCTTCAACAACTCTTCCATCAACTCTTTTCAAATCACTTCCAAACAAACTTAGACTTTATTGGTTTTGTAAACACTTGTTTCCTTTTTGTGATGGAAGTATTTTGGGTCTGATTTGTCCAGATCCGTGAAGCCTATGAATAGAGGGAAAGGTGCATCTCAAACAAGAATAAAAAGAACAAGGGAGAGGTGGATTATTCGGGAGTTTAAATCTTTGTGGGTACTCTTTTTTTTCTTTTTTTTTCCAGCATTCTTTGGTACTTTGTTTTGTTGGTTGGCTACTGATGATTGATTCTTAGGTCACTTGTTGAATTGAGACAATAACCTCTAGGGTTTACAAGTATGATGTATCTTTGAAGAGAACTTCATTAAAAGTAACGAGTTTCCCCCAAATGTTCTTTTCCGTTCTTGCTTTTAGAGAACAAAATAAAATTAATAAATTAGTGGCAACCTCCAATTGGTGGCCATTTTCTTTTTTCTTTCTTTTTTCTTTTTCTGCTGGGTAAACAAGATCTAAAAAGTTTATGGGAGGGAGAGGCTACTCCCACACCCAAGGCCAGGGGAAACCTACGACCTAGAGCCGGTTAGACTGACGAAAGGGACCATTATCCCCCCAACCTCGGTATGTAATTACACAAAAAAATTTCTAGATTACCCACCAACATGCTGGCAGTGGGTATCGAACTCAGTTGGGGCTTGACGCATAGCTCGCACCTTACCATCTTCATACCTTAACACTTTAACATGTATGAAGATGGCTGAGGGAGAAAAATGAGAAAGAAAGTGGATGAAGATGGCTAAGTCGACTTGCATGTTATATTCCTATTTAGAAAGGTGCACTAGATACTAAGTTATATCAGGTTTGATAAAAGTTTAAATTAGGTTATATCTTGAAACCCAAAACATTGCGAAATAAGGAAAGTTTTGAAGCCAATTAAAGGGTCATATTTATTTCCTTTTGCGTGAACCGTTGCTTGATGGGCTTAGAGTGTTAGTCAAGTCGGCCCTTGGTGATGAGTAGAGACAACTTGACCATGACACGTTTACTAGCCGGTTGTCATCCCTTGTCCCCAACACACACATATTTCTAGGAGTCACAAAACTCCTTGCAACTCCAATGGCAACATCGTTAGTTGTCAAGGAGTAATGAGTCGTTGACTATAACTGGTACTCATGAGAAAGAAAAGTAGGGCATCCACACAGTTGCAGCTCCTTGCCCCCATGTCTGTGTTGGCGGAGCTAAGTTGAGTTCTAGAGAAAATGGGAAAGAAGATACATTTTATTTCTGCTTTCCTTTTCTTTCTTTTTCTCTCCTCTCTCTTTTCTTCTTTCTTCTCTCTTTCCTTCTTTCTTTTCTCTCTTCTACGTGATTGTGATTTTCATCCATTATAACGAACCATAGCCACTACAGCTTTGTACGCATTTTTTGATTTTTCCTGCGCTCCTTGAGCTTCACACTTTTTGGGCTTTCCACCAGTCCCCAAATTATTTTGTCGCAATGTGACCTTTTTGAATGAACGCATTCAACAAAGTTATCACGGCTTTCTATGGATTAAGACTAGACATCATAACTTAATCATACTTTAGCTAGAATCAATCCGTGAATCTGAATTGAACATGTTAATTGATTTGCTTAAGTTAGTTTTTTTTTCTTTTTTTCTTGTTTTATGTTCTTTTCTTTCTTGTTTTTTGTTTTGTACAGGGAATCAAATTGAATCAATCTATCATCAATCCTTGTGGGATCGGCCTCGCACTTACATATGCTATACTACCAGACGGCTCGTGCACTTGCGAGTATCACAAGTTGAGGATGTAGCTGAATCAATTTTGGTGTAGCTGAATCGACACAACAATTCTCCACCAAGCCCCAATACTCTTCAGAGCTCAAGAAATTTCCATAAGCATGGACCAATGATTATAATGCCCGTCGAAATGTGGAATAACTTGTTGCACAAAATTACTTCCTTCTCCTGCCATTGCTTCTTGCTATTGCAAGTCAAAAGCTGCCGCTTTCTTCGAACATTTACACCCTAGTGAGGGACTCTGACACCTAATGTTGATTTTCTAGAATTTTTAGTTTAAAGAATGATCAATTAGGAGCAATAATTTCTTTGAATAAAAGACATGGCTTAAATAACCTTACAACTTGAAACTTGCAGAAAGATAATGACGTGCAAATCAATGACCAACAATCCCTAATATCATGGGATTCTCCTAAAGAAATATTCAACAAGCAAAGACCCTTTTAAAGACTTTCAAAACCAAGCTAATTTCCCTACACCTTAGGGATTTATTCATTAGAAATATCAAATACTTAAAGCAAACTGACATTTTAACAGGTATGAAGATTGCTGAGGGAGAAAAACGAGAGAGAAAGAGGATGAAGATGGCTAAGGGGAAGAAAGAAGAGAAGATGCTTGAGTTTGAACGTGTAACCGTAATTTTTATTTAATTATTGGTTTAAATTACTAATTATATGTATCATTGGATTAATCCAATGACTTCTATTAAATAGGACTTCATTTTTAAATCCTTAGGTGAGTGGGACTGTAAGTTCAGGGACCTCTCAAATTCAATTAGGCTTACTTTAATTTATTGAATCGGGTAAACATATGCTTAATTAAGTTGACTGTCGATTTCTCCGTAATTTAAATTAGTTTAAATAATAAAAAGATCTCTTAAGCCTCAATTTCGTGTCTTAATTTTTTTTTTGAATTTCGTTGAGTTTTTTAAAATTTACTGAGACTACAAGCCGTTGGATTAATTGAACGAGTGAGGTGTGTGGGGCTCACAACGCTCAAAATTTCGTCGCTCATCCCTCGCTTCGCACTCTAAAGCAGCCGCTCATCAGCAGCCTGTTTGCGTGATGAGGAGTCCACGGCCCCTTGCTGCATTTAGGGTTTAATCATATTTGGATCAAACCTTTGAAATTTCCTTAAAATGATGACCCTTTCTTCAATCTCTCGGTTCATGTCCTCCTCAGTTGGCCTCAAAAGTCACAAATTCTTAATCTTGCGGTTCTCTGCTGCCTCAGATGAGATATTCTACAAGCCAATCCCAAATGGGTCTTAGAGCATCTCCAGCGCAGCCCGGGCTAGGGGGGAAAGGCTGCCCGACGCAGCCCGAGAGAGCTCCAGCGCGAAGCCCGTAGCCCAGTTTGGTGGCGGGTCCCACGAGCCCGAGGAAGCCCAAGGGCAAGTCTTGCCCGGGCTGAAGCCCGAGTTGGCTGACGTCAGCGCTGGCGTCATGCTGACGTCAGCCACTGACAGCTCCAACGGGCGGGTGCCACGTGGCGCGACGGGGACTCTCCGATGGATTTTTTCCAGAAATCCGACGGTCCTCGTTTTTTTGGCTAAAAAAATTGCAAAAAAAATCGAAAAAAATCTGAAATTTTTTTAAAAAAATACCCAAAAATTCTGTATTTTTTCTCTATAAATACCTAACCATTTTATTTACTTTCCACACTAAAATCTTATCAAAATTTCTTCTCCATCCCATATTTTTTACTCTTTACTCACATTATTCACTTTCCACACAAATTCTTCATACAAACTTTTCTCCTTCCAATTTTTTTGTTCATCTCCACTCACATTTTTCACTTCCACACCAATTCTCCATACAAACTCTTCTCCTTCCAATATTTTTTACTCTCTTTCTACTACTTTCCATTTGTATAAAAAAAAACAAATGACATCTTCTATTGAAGTCGGAGGCTCGTGGTCAACGAATGAAGATATTGCGTTGTGTCAATCTTGGGTGAACATTAGTCATGACCCTATCACGGGTAATGAGATGAAGTTTCATCACATGTGGAGCAAAATTCATGGAGAATTTTGTCAAAGATCGGGTTCTATTCGGACCGAAATGGCGTTGTCTAGTAGATGGAAACTTCTTAATAAAGAGTTAGGGAAATGGAGGAATGCCTTGACAAAAGCAAAGGCGAACATTCAAAGCGGTCAAAATTTGACCGATGAGGTAAAATATTTATAATTGCCATTTTAATCAATTCAATGTCACTTTTTTTTTATTGCATATTCTATTTGTTTTTCTTGCATAATTTTTTTTTCTTGGTGCACCTTTAATTTGTCTATATTTTCTTGCATAATCAATTTTATTTTTGCATTTCAAAATAGTTTATATTTTCTTGCATAATAATTTTTGTTTCTTGCACTTCCAATTATTTATTTTTAATAGATGGTACAAGCACAAATGTGGTTCGGTGCCATGGGGCAAGGCAAAAAAAGTTTCGTGCATTTCCAATGTTGGGAAATTGTGAAGGATTGTTCGAGGTTCAAAATTATTCCCACCGGTCCGCCGGTTGTGATGAATGAGACGCCACTCCACGATTCAACATCAACCGATTCTCCATTGGACTCCCCAATGGAAACGGAGTCACCATTTGTGCCACGTCCGCCAAGACCTATTGGGAGAAAGGCGGCAAAGGCCAAGAGAGGGGCCACTTCGACCAATGATTGTGTACAATTATTGGAGCAAATAGCTAAGAGCGCCACACTAAGAATCGAGAGAGACTTGAAAAGAGATGAAATGGACAAGGCACGAGAGGAAGCATTTGTTCTCCAACAACAAATGGCACAAGAAAAAGACATACAGGATAGAGAGATGAAAATCATGGCTATGGATACGAGCCATATGTCTCCCGAAACAAAGGCTTATTGGAAGCTACGACGAAGAGATGTGATGAGGAAAAAACTTTTCAATGACGACGGACCTAGCAATACGGATTGGTTAAATGATGAAAACCATTAGGAAGCAATTGAAACACCTTTGCCATATGTTGTATTGTTGTATTGTTGTATTATCCTTTAAGTTATTGTATTGTTGTATTATCCTTTACTTTGTTGTATTGTTCCCTTATCCTTTAATTTGTTGTATTGTTCCCTTATCCTTTAATTTGTTGTATTGTTCCCTTTTTATTCAATCAAAAAAGGAATTTTCTTTGAATAATTTTTATTAAAATCTAAAATACTGAAAATTAACTACGAAACTTTAAATGCCGTTTTGGAAGGCCAAACGACCTCAAAATGCCAAAATCCATCATACATCACAGCAAAGCTGTGAGTTTGACTCGTGGCGTCGTTCCCTTTCCGAAATGGTATTTTGCGTCCTAATCGGAGCTCGGACGACAAATCTGCAAATTCCCACTACGTCCTTTTTCTAGCTCAAGCGATAAAATCTGACATTTGTTCTACATCAGACGTGGCACAATTTTAGAGGGTGAAAATCTTATCCGAAAATTTAATTACAAAAGATTATCAAAATTAATGGTTTAAACTATAAAAAAATAGAAAATAAAGTACGATGAATAGTAATTGCCTTAGACTTGCCCTAGACTTTGCCCTTGTGGGTGGAACCACAAATGCAAAGGCTGACACTATTCACGTGAATAGTGGCAGCCCTTGCTTGCCCTTGCCTTAGACTTAGCCCTTGTGGGTGGAGATGCTCTTAGGATTTTCATATGGGCTGGTCTTCACTCCAGTTATAGGCATGGCTATTTTATGTACAGGAAAGCTTGTGAACTGTGTGAGATTAAGCTAAACCCAAGTGTGATTTTTGATGTTTTGGAAGCTTATAGAATTGAAGGGCGCTTTATTAGTCTTAAGGCATTTAAGGTTGCCTTTAATTTATGTAAAGAAGCTAAGCTTGCCGATGAAGCTTTGAGGGTATTAAGGAAATACCGGATTTTGGTTTGCGTCCAGATTCTACTATGTATAATGTTGTTATAAGGTTGTTTTGTGATAAAGGTGATATAAATATGGCTGAAAGTTTGGTGAAAGAGATGGGCTTTGTGGATCTTTTGCCCGATTTGATCACGTACATTGTAATGATTAATGGGTTTGGTAATGTGGGTCGGTTAGATGATGCTTGTAGGCTGTTTAAGGTTATGAAAGCACATGGTTGTTTGCCGAATGCTGTGATGTACTCGGCACTTCTTGATGGGTTTTGTAGGTCTGAGAAAATGGAGAGAGCTTTGGAGTTATTGACAGAGATGGAGAAGGAAGGTGGGGATTGTAGCCCTAATGTAGTAACATATACGTCTGTGATTCAAAAGTTTTGTGATAAGGGTCGGTCGAAGGAGGCATTGGTTATTTTGGACCGAATGGAAGCTTCTGGATGTGCCCCAAGTCGCGTAACGGTTAGTTCTCTAATTAAGAGTTTTTGTGTGGAGGATCAAGTTGAAGAGGCTTATAAACTGATTGATAAAGTTGTTGCGGGACGTAGTGTTACGTATATAGTGATTGCTATAGCTCTCTTGTTGTGTCTTTGGCAAGAGGTCTTGAGGATCATGCTTGATAGTGGGGTGAAACCAAATAGTTTGGTGTGTAGCATTACGTTAAAAAAGATTTGTTTGGAAGGACGGGTGATAGATGGATTTTGCTTGTTTCATGAAATTGAGAAGATGGAATGCTTGTCTTCCATTGACTCAGATACTTACGCAATTCTTTTAGTGGGGCTTTGTGAACAAAGACATTTAGTGGAGGCTGCAAAGCTGGCAAGGCTAGTGCTAAAGAAAGGAATTAAGCTGAAAGCTCCTTATGTTGACAGTATAGCTGAGATCCTGAAGAAATCCGGAGATGAGGAGTTAGTTAAGCATTTGAGTAGAATTCCATTTTGAAGTTGAACAAAAGACATTGCTCACCAGTTTTTATGTCTTTTCTTTGCTTATCTGGAATTGGGTTCTTCTACTAAGCTCTAAGTCCGAACCAAGAAGAAGACAATCATTGAGTTAAGTTGGTAGGTGAGGAAGAAGGGAATTCATGCCCATGCCCTGGAAATACAATTTGGTAGCAGAAGCATCTTTGGTTCGGATGCGAAACGGGTTTTATTGGTGCAGGGGCTCATGCACTGTTTTACCCGACTCTTCTTTACAATGTCACTGGGAATAAGCTTTAGGCTGAGTTTCTGTGGTGGGACAAGGTCGATGAGGTACAAATATAATTTTATCAAGCACGTTTATGCTTATATTTGTTTGTCATGGTTCATTTTGAATTCTGATTTTCAATTGGATAGCTTGTGGAAGTTTCTGGGATCTTTTTCTCCTTTTCTTTTTTTTTTTTTAAATGTGGGTGTTTATCATTTTTCTGCAGCTGTGAATTAATTTTCAATTTTTGGTTATGTTTTGTTTTTATCTCAGTTAATTGTAGATGTAAGTGAGATGCAGTTAATTTTATTTAAATGAAAGGAAACTGTTTTTATTTATTCTACATGCGGCCTTACTATGTGTGTTTATGTGACTGATTTGGTATTCATTTGATTATTAAGGGTTATGCTATTCCTTAGATTCGTCACGTTAGAGTTTGTGTAGTTTTGCATCAGTTTTTATGTGCTTGTAGGACTGTTTGATCTGAATCAATTTCTTGTTTAAATTATAATACTTCTATTTTCAGTTTGTATTGTTAGGTGCAGTTGCCCTGCATGAAGTTGAAGTTCGATGGAGTCTTCACACTTAATGAGCCATACAAGACTTTGGTTCCATCATCTTTATCTCATGTTAGTGGTTTCCTGGATTTGCATTGTCCGAGTTTGCTTGGTTGGAGATAAACTGATACATTTTTCCTTCAAATGAAATATTATTGCTGCGCAGAGTTTATCTTTGTTTTTTTTTAATGTTTTTTTTTCTTAAAATTTTTATTTTTATTTGCATGAAATATTTAGGGCCTGTGTGGCAATGGCTTTATAAGTTCTAAAAGCACTTTCTGATAGCCAAAATAGTGTTTGGCAACGATTGATAGAAAAGGTTACAAGTGCTTCTAGGTTAGTGCTTTTACTTTATGTGCTTCCTCCAGGAAGTGCTTGCAAGTGCATTTTCAGGAGGCGGAGGCACTTGGTTTTTTAGTCAAAGTTTTGTTGTGCTTCTAACAAAAGTGCTTCTCAGTAGGAGAAGAATTCCCAAAATGCCATAAGTATCTGATAGGATTAGCTGGTGCTTTGCCATACTATTGTATGTATTAATACGTGAATGCTCTGGATTAAAGTTGACTTGGGTCATATCTATACTCGACTAGAACTTCTGCATTTTGTTTTGTTTTTTATTTACGTTATTTTTTGGGCTCTAATCTAACCATTAAACTTTTGGCAGTGTCACGGAATTAACCGTCTGGTGATTCCTACAAGAGATTACTGCTTTGCACCATCACTGAATGATACATGTTGTGCTGCAGACTTCATTCATGGTAAGCATTTTTGCATCTTTGATTTGATTATATTGAATACCATCTGATATTTCATGATTTAGCATAAACTAGGCTCTATGTACCTAGGACATTCTGTTCTTGACTAGATGCAAATGACATGACTCATAAAACTGTTGAAGCCGGATACACTCATCCAGTATCTTTCTGATATGCAAGGGTGGAAGTGTGAGGCTTCCCTTCTGGAATTTTCCAGTATAAATAAATGGTTGGTTAGAATATCTTGGACCATCTAGACTGCTCATGTTTTTTTTGTTTTTTGGGGATGAACTTTTAGAATCTTCCAAGAGATATTTGTTGTTGAAATCTTTGTGTCATTTCCGAACTGCTTGGTGGAATTCATTGGGGTTCTTTCTTCTTACCCATGAATTTTGGAAGAAATTGATCCCAATGCTTGTAATTAATTTTATGAAAATTCTGTTGGACGAAATTGAAGTGATGAATTACTTTTCCTATATTATGAATAATGTGCCAAGCATTCACCTACTTTGTTTTTTTGAAGCTTTTGCTGGACCAACTGGGAAAAGGCAGTAAGATCAATAATTCATTCAAGAAACTGGCTTCGACATCAAGGCTCTAATTCTGAAGATGACATCTTACAGTACATGACTGGTGAGGTTCATTACATAACCATGGAGTATGAAATATCGGATCAGCAAAACAAGCGAAAACCAGCAGCTCCATCCACCTCAGCTAGTAAAAGAGCTCAAAGAATCATATCAAGGAGGAGATACAAGAACTCTTGAATGAGAAACCGCATATAGTAAAAGGGTTGGTCGGCGATGAAGAAGACAAAGACTGCTGCTCAATAGAATGCATTGTTGCTGCACTTGAAACTGTACCTGGCATGGATGATGAGCTCTTCTTGGAAGCTTCTCTTATTCTAGAAGATGATGATGATAAGAAAGCCAAGATGTTTGTGGCAATGGATGTTGCAGCTCGAAAGAAGAAGCTATACAGAAAACTTCGCCAGTAGCATCTAAGTTGCTTGTCAGTATGCAAGTATAGTTTTGATATGCTTATCACCCTCGTGCTTTTTTCCTCATGTAAATTACATACATGGAAAGAGTTTCCCTCTACATAATGTAATTCCCTTGTGTATATCAGTAAGTTTTGAGATGGGCTCTTTCCCTGCTATTGAACAAGAAAGCCAAAGCTTCCTCTTCTCTTTGTTTTTTCAGCAAATGGAACTCACCAAATGCTAATTAGCACCCGGATTATCTCCACACTATTATGAGTTTAGGTTTTGAAGCTTACAAAGTTGTAAATCAAATTTCATACTTACCGAGATCTGCAATACGTATTAACAATAATTTCATACTTACAGTAAAACAATAAATGAAGTTACTGATCAATTAAAGAAAACAAAATTACCCAGATCAGGGGGAAAAAAAAACTACTTTGCCGTTCTTCTCTGATGAAGTAGAATTACTGATGAAACTTTTCTATTCTGTGAACCGCATAAAGACCAAGGTTGTTTGCAGCAACTAATTCGAATATCCTATCAACCTACATATAGCTACTTTATTAATCTGCTCTTCCCTCAATTCTAGGGTTGGGAATACAATCTTTAATATTGTCAAGGCCAGTAGCAAACATAACCATCCGTTCGAAGCCTAAACCAAAACCACTATGTTTGACAGTCCCAAAGCGCCGCAAGTCAAGGTACCACTGATATAGGTCAACAGGCAGTCCCCTCTCCAAAATCCTACATACAATCAACAGACGTATCATCCATCATATACCCCACATTGCATTACGTTATATTACATGCCTTTGTTATTGTTAGTTTAGACAATACAATATTGATTGTAAGATCAAGTGTACCTGTTATGGAGAACATCGAAACGCTCTTCCCTTTGGCTTCCCCCTATCAACTCTCCCACCTGAAAATGAAAAATGAAAACATAAACGTATGTCTACACATTCAAATTATGAGATGCAAAATGCTAAAGTATACAACAGAGTGTGGAACAGGAACTCAAAGATAGTTAGAAAAGTTGAGAGGAGGAAAATGCCATGCCCACCTTTGGTACCAGCACATCCATGGCAGCCACTGTCTCAGAATCATCATTGAGCCTCATGTAGAATGCTTTGATATCTTTAGGGTAATTGTAAACAATAACAGGCTTCTGAAATTTCACCTCCGTCAAGTACCTGCACAAAAGCAAAGCAATAATATTAAATCAGCTGTAAGTAACACAAGAAGACAAAGCAACAGAATATATAATGCTTATATATGGGACTACGTACCTTTCATGCTCAGATGACAAATCAATCCCCCATTCCACATGGTTCTCAAACTCCTTGCCATTTTTCACCGCCTCAATTAGCAGGTCCACTGCTTCTGTGTACGTAATCCGTTCAAAAGGTGTTGAAGCGACCATTCTTAGACGATCAATGCAACTTTTATCATACCTCTCGGCAAAAAATTCCATATCTTCATGGCATTTTTCAAGTAACCACTCACACATGAATTTCACATATGCCTCTGCACAGTTCATATCATCCTACATGAGCGTGCAAACTGTTAGACAGACTTTTGCATGGACAAACAGGTTCAAAAATACAGAAAACCACACGGACAACATCCAAAATGTATATTCAGGGCTACGCTAGATTTAAGGTTCACACACCTCAAGCTCCGCAAATGCCATTTCAGGCTCCACCATCCAGAATTCTGCCAAATGCCTTGTAGTATGTGACTTCTCAGCTCGAAAAGTAGGCCCAAACGAATACGCCTTACTAAGAGAACATGCATACGCTTCAAGTTGTAGTTGGCCAGAAACAGTCAAAAATGTTGGCAGGCCAAAGAAATCTCGAGTATAGTCAATCTTCCCCTCCTTATGAGGGATACCAGGTTGAAGCTTAGACCTCTCCTCCAGCTTCCAGAGATTTTCCTTTGCCCTTTTAAGTTCGGCCACAGCATCACCAATGTCCATCTTACTTGCTTTAGAAGATTTCAGCAGAGCAATAACATCTCCTTTCTCCTTAACAATGACCTTAGCAGCTTCTACGTCTGCTTCTGATGGAGGAGGGTTCTTAAGCAGATCCTTTTCCAACTTCTCACCTTCACTAAACAAGGTTGTGACTTGAAACATCTCACCGGCACCCTCGCAATCGCTGCAATTCATAATTGGAGTCTGCACGTTCAAAAAGCCACGCTCTAGGAAGAATATGTGAGTTGCATGTGCCAGGGCACTTCTGATTCGAATAACTGCAGAGATCTGAAAGCAGAAACGTGGTAATAAAAAACTAATCATCAAAAGCATAAGAGGTCCTACAAACTAAGTGATACTAGAAAAAGGCCTTGGAGGTAACACATTATCATCAACAACTGTCCTTTAATGTCTGTCCATCAACAGCCAATTTCAGGTTAGACAACCTTTTCCCCACAAAGAAAACAAAACAAATGCATTAAATTCATAATTTATTCATTACTATTTTCTTTTCTTACAAGGAGAAAAGTTACTAAAACACAAAAATGTGGGACCAAGTTGGACAAGATGTTCCATCAGAAATATGTCGTTAAGGACACAGCTCCAATGGAAAACAATGGACTTCCCCATTAAATTCATAATTTATTCACTACTATTTTCTTTCCTTACACGGAGAAGAGTTACTAAAAACACAAAAATGTGTCCTTGAGGACACACACACAGTTCCATTGGCTTCATTCAATCTTCTAAATAGCTATTATTTATTTCATTTTTAACAAGAAACAGAATTGAATGAACTATTAGTTATCGAATTGGCAAAAATCCCCAATCTTCTTCAATCTACCACTTATTCCACAGATTACTACGAAGGAGAAGTGCATGTTAATCATGTTTCCAATCGAACTAACATATCCATAACACCAAGATTAAACAAAAGTGGACAAACATAAGTACTACCCTATATGCATATGTGAACTGTGTATGTGTTTATGCGTGCTTCACAATAATGCAAACAGCTTACCGTGCAGGTTCTGGGACGCAAATGAACAAAGTTCCTCACAAACTCAAGGGGGAGGCTGGTCTTGGGCAAAGGGTAATCAGCAGGGTCAACTGGACCGACATGTACCATCTTCTCCACCTTAAGCTCCACCTTCTGCTCTTTATCCCCTGGGGGCAGCTTAAGCACACCATCTACGACAACACATATACCAGTCCGCGCAAGCTGCCCGAGGTCAACCTTGTCTGCTTCCACAAACACCTGTAAGTTTCCCAAGCATGACCCATCATTCAGCTGCAAAAATCTTGAACCCTTGCTTCCCTTCCGAGCAGTCTTCACCCAGCCACCAACCCGAACCTGCTGGCCGGCCAATGCAGGCCAGTCATCATCAGGTCGCACAATGATGGATCGGATAGGAACTATATCGGAAAATTCCGCTTTTGCAATGGAGACAGTGCCGTTTGAGGTAAGGACGCCTAGTTGGGCACCTAGCAGCTTGGAATCGCCATTCGCCATGACAAAGTTTGGAATTCAAAGTCAAGCAAAAGCCGGGTGTTTTTACCTAAAGAAAATGCGTATGTAAAGGCAAAGGACAACCATTTATTAGGATTTAAGCTGCAAAATCAAGGTATGCACCAAGGTATCTCGAAAATACAAGACAGGAACACACCAGAACGGTCTAAAGCTAAAAGTATATGCCGGTAATAAATAAAAAGCTCAGGGAATTCATAACAGAACAGAGATATGCAAGGCCTGCATGAATGAAGCATAGGACCAGCGAAACTAACAGCCACTACTATATCATTAAGCTATTATATTAAGATTTCTGATTTTTATCATGTAAACCAGCTAAAATGCACATAACTCGCACAGCCGAAAACAGGTAACACTGAAGACATGGAATTCATGAATTCAATACTAATAAACGCACAAGCACACACGCATACTATCACTTCACTCAGTTATTTATGCAAAAATACAGAATTTGCATACACAATTAAATCAATTCTGCACCGACACAAGTCTACAATGGTCCTGTGTATTGGGATAATTCTGCACTGACACAACTGCCTAAAGCAGCTCTCAAAACTTACTTAAAATGATAAAATCATCTACAGCAGCTCTCAAAAACCCCTAAAAATTCCAACATACAATCCAAAACCTACAGCAGCTCTCACATATGCAAAACCAAAACTTAAGATCCACATACAATCGAAAACCCAATACAAAATTGACAAAAAAACCCAAACTTACAAAACAAAATTGACAAAAACACAAAATTGACAAAAAAAACTTTTTTTACCGTTTTCTTTGAAAAGTTTCCGGTGCTGTCGAGCCAGAGAGAGAAGGGTCCGGCCGAGACAGAGAAGGTGAGGTAGTCGAGCTCGAGTCAGAGAGAGAAAGGACGAGGTTGAGCGAGAGAGAGAGAGAGAGAGGGTGAGGTCGCGTGAAAGAGGGAGGGAGCGAGCGACGGCGCGCCGTAGCCGTCGCCGTCGCCGTCGCCGTCGACTTCGTGAGGACGAGAGTTCTTGTCTTTCAGAGACAGGGAGACGATAGAGGTTGAGAGGTTGAGAGTGGCGGGAAAAAAACAAAAGGGAGACACTCAAAATATATATAATTGTTGATTTTGGGTGTGTTTCTATGTTTAAATAATGTTTGAGTTTTTTTATAAATACATGTCTAGAATTTGGTTTATTTATAAATTTGTAAAAAATAAATTGAGATGGAGGCTGGCTGCGAGTTATGTCAAGAGGAGATCGGGTCAGGTTCAACGTTAACTTTTTCGGTTTGGTACCAAATTTGATGTTGGATTTGGGTGAACGGAGTATTTAGGTAGGAAGCGAAAACAACGGAAAATAGATTAAAAGGGACAGATTTGGAATCACTTCAGGGTCTGGAAAACAAACTTGTTTTTATATCTCAACACTCAACTCCATAATGAATTAGATGAGAGGGGTATTTATAGTTAACTAAAACCTAAAGATAATAGGATAAAAAACTCCTTGCTAAAACAAAAATTCTAACCTAAATAAAATAGGAAACTTATAAATCCTACTAAAATATGGAAAGCTTAAAAATCTTATTAAAATCTGAAAAATTTAAAGAACAAGTTAGAAACTAATCGTAGGAATAAAAAAATGCCAGATTTAAAGACCAAATTAAATGACTTCCTCTTACATCTCTTTCTTTTGTAAACCCTAATGAGTTTGACAAAGATGTCCTCATCAATTCGATTTGGTTATTTCAATTCAGTTCGTTCGTTCAGTTCATTGATTTTTTGCCCAACCCTAGAGTCACCTACCTCGAGAAATACCAAAAAATGAAAATAAAAACCTCCACATAGATTTGAAAACCTTAAAAACCAAAACAAACAAACAAACCTGAAAACCGATACACCTTTGAAATGTTTTGCAGCGGTCGACCAACAACCGTTTTGAAGGACTCATCCCTAAGGTGTATGACGTTTGGGGCTTATTAACTATTATTGTATTGCTATGTGTTTTAATTGTGGCTTCGCGAGTTCTTAAATTATTTTGAGTTGACTATTGTTGTTGAATTTCATATTTTTGTTTTTGGCATATTTCTTGTTAACTTTCATGTTCTGGGTCTAGCAGCTTTGAGTTCATCAAAAATAACATCTCTAGAAATCACCAAACTATTGGTTCTTGGATCAATTAATCTATATGCTTTGGACTGATCACTATATCCCACAAAAATATATTTCTCACCTTTCTCATCAAATTTTTCTCTCTTTGAGAAGGAATATGTGCATAAGTGCACCCAAAAATCTTGAAGAAATCCACCTTTGGTTTAAAATGATGCCATGCTTCAAAAGGAGTCTTATCTTTGACTGCCTTGGTTGGAGACCGATTAAGAATAAATACTGCTGTATGAATTGCTTCAGCCCAAAATGTATTTGGCAGACTCTTTGCCTTCAACATGCTTCTTGCCATCTCGACAATGGTACGATTTCTTCGTTCGGCAACTCCGTTTTGCTGTGGGGTGTACCTTGCTGTCAACTCTCTTTTAATACCATTGCTTTTGCAATATTCAGAAAATTCATTTGATGTAAACTCTCCACCACGATCTGTTCTTACACCTTCAAATTGTGACCACTTTGATTTTCTCCAAAAGCTTTGAATTGCTTGAAAACAGAAAATGCTTCTGACTTTTGTTCTAAGAAATATACCCACGTCATCCTTGAGAAATCATCTACGAATAGAATGAAGTACCTTTTGTTATTGAAGGATGGTGTACGAGTTGGTCCACAAATATCTACATGTACCAATTCAAGAGGGGCTTTTGCTCTCCAAGATGATTGTGAGAATGGTAACCGATGGAATTTTCCAAAGATACAGCCTTCACATATTTCCTTTTCAGAGTGAATAGAGGGAAGTCCAACCACCATATTTTTCTGGTGTAACAGCTGCAGGCTTCTTTGATTCAAATGCCCATATCTTAAATGCCATAACAACGATCCATCAACTTTTTCTGCTTCTAAAGCAAACTTTTCCTTTGATGTCATCAACAGCGGAAAAACTTTGTTTGCTGTCATTTTTATCTTTGCCACCATAGTGTTATTCTTTTTATCACAAATAACACAATAATCATCTTCAAATTTCACCAAGAATTCTCTTTGCAAAAGTTGCCCCATACTTAGTAAATTTTGAGCCAAATAAGGAACATACAACACATCATAGACAAGTTTTGGAGTACCTCCTTTTGTTTGCACAGAAATGATACCCTTGCCTTCCACGTTGTGTAGTTTTCCATCACCAAGCTTGACTTGTGAGTTCACTTTTTCTTCTAACTTGACAAAGCATTGCTTATTTCCTGTCATATGATTACTGCATCCGCTATCCACGTACCAAACATCTTGTGAATCTTGATGAGAACTGAAACATGTATAAAATAATTGCTCTTGAGAGTCATTGTTCTCCGTAAAATTTGCTTCATTGTTTTTCTGATATCTGCAGTCTCTTTGTGAATGATTGGGTATCCTGCATCGGGTACATTTGTATCGGCAATCTGCACTTTTATGCCCATATTTGTTGCAAACATAGCATTGAAGGGATGATCTTCGATTTTGATTATTTGAATTGCTACTTCCTTGTTGATTATTGGAACTGCTGCTTCCTTGTTGATGATTGGGACTGCTGTCTTGTTGTTGATTATTGAAACTATTGCCTACTTTGTTGGAGTTTCTACGCCCAAAATTTTTGTTTCTCCCATTTTGAGATTTTGGAATTGTCCTCCTTTTTGTTTGTCTTCTTTCTCTTTCGAATTCACCTTGGACTGGAAAGCTTGCTCCACAGATTGTTTTGTGGATATGTTGATTCTTTTTTCATGTGCTTCCAATGAACCAATTAATTCATGTAAAGAAAGTGTAGATAAATCTTTTGATTCTTCTATTGCAGCAGCGACATGATCATATTTTGGTAGTAGACTTCGTAAAGTTTTCTCTACGATTTTCTTGTCTGGAATAGTGTCCCCATAACATCTGATTTGGTTCAAAATCCCAGAAACCTTTGTGAAGAATACTTGAATGGATTCACTGTCTTTCATAAGTAAGTTATCAAATTCCCGCCATAAGGATTGTAGTTTGATGGAGATCACTTTTTCTGAACCTTTGAACTCAATTTTGAGAATTTCCCAAGCCTGCTTTAATGTTGTTGCTGGAAGTAATCTTGGAAAAAGATTTTTGCTTACTCCTTGTTGAATTAGAAACAACACCTTGGCATCTTTTTTCTTATTTTCCTTGTAAGTTTGCTGCATTTCTTGTGTTTCCTTTCCTGCTTTTGAAGTTTCTTGTTCCTCATACCCATCTTCAACAATATCCCAAAGATCCTGGGAGATGAACAGAATCTTCATTTGAACACTCCAATACTCATAATTCTCACCATCAAAAATAGGCATTAGATTCTGGATATTCCCAATGGTAGAGGAATTTGAACTTGATGCCATTGCTAATCACAACGGTAGCGATAAGATCAAATACTACTCTGGTACCAAATTTGTTGGGGGAATGATCACAAAACTGAAGTATATGATGGAAATATAAAGTGAGGCAGAGAGTGTTTGTAAAACAGAAAATTATTTAAACTGATTTTTGTTAACTTCTTTGATATGTGTTACAGCAGCCTATAACATGCTATTTATAATAACAGTCAGACCTTTTGATAAATAGACATAACTCTTGGATTAGTTCCAAGAGTTGCAGACACAACTCTTGACTTCTAAAGAGATACAACTCTTCCTAAACATAACTTTTCATCAAGAGACACAACTCTCTACTTTAACAACTGATACAAATGCATTACGTTTAACAGTACTCTCAGAAGAGAACTATTTCATGCAATCCAACAAATGATGTTTCTGACTATACTTGCAGGATAAGGAAGATGATCTGAAAGTAGGTGTTAAGTCTATTGCATTGAGATTTGGTGATTCAACTAAGGAGTGGATTACTGGGTTTGGAATTATGTGCATCAGCAGTCTTGCCCTCAGTCGATATAATGCTGAAATCGGTTTTGTTTCCTACTTTATTTCATTTTGTTTTAAATAATTTTTTCTTTTACCATTATTGGAACTTCAATCCAATTCTTTTTCCTTCTGCCACATCCTCACACCAATCTTCCAACTATGGAGCAGGCTGGCCATATTGTGCATTTTTGGCGACTGCATCTGGACAATTAGCTTGGCAGATATGGACTGCCAACCTTTCATCCCGGGTTGATTGCAACAGAAAGTGCGTATTTTTCTTGATATGATCTTGATTTCAAGTAATCATAGAGATTAAATAGGTGTATTGCATCAATGTTAATTTTGCCATACTACACCAATCAAGAGAAACAAAAAAGGTAAATATTGAAAAAAATATAACTTGGAGGATTTCATACACTAGGGAAGGAAAAGCTCATTTAGGTTTAAGATTTCTTTACTTTGTTTTGCTTTGAACATGATCAGCTTGCCTCAACATTTGCTCTTGTCTTGGTTCCAGATTTGTGCTGAACAAGTGGTTTGGTTCCAGATTTGTGTCAAACAAGTGGGAAAAAGCATGGGGGTGATAAACATATCAAAACTACACTTGCATACTGGCAAGCAACTTAGATGCTACTGGCAAAGTTTTCTGTATAGCTTCTTCTTTCGAGCTGCAAGTTGCAACATCCATTACCACAAACATCTTGGTTTTCTTACACTACTACAATTTTGTTAAACTACGACACCTAGTAGACGACCCTTTATATAAAAACTGTCGTGGTATTTTAAAAGACGACGAATGTTATAAAACCGTCGTGGTAAGGTACCTAATACACCAATGTGTTGGGTTGATTTTTAAAATTACGACGATACCTTATTAGGACCGTCGTGTTTTTAGGAGGTGCTAAACAAAAATTCATTTTAAGTTTGCGAGCACGGACCATTTCAGAAAAGAAAATGCTAGAGGCACCAACTTTGGGCACCAACTCTCTAATAGAGCGTGGGACCCGGTGTATTGGCGGGCTCCACCTCTATTAGAGAGTTGGTGCCCAAGTTGGTGCCCAAAGTTGGTGCCTCTAGCACCACCCTTTTAGAAAACCCTCGCTCGCTCAAAACACTGTACTATCTCAAATTCTCTAATGAACCTTTTAGAAAACCCTCTCTCTCACATCAATGAAGCACATCTCCCTCTCATCGTCCACCGAACTAGCCCAGATCTCCATCTCCATGGACATCGAGTTCGACGAGATCGCCATCTCCGTCGTGCCATTCAGTCAACCAAGCTCGTCACGTTCGCCATCTCCCTTCCTCGTCGCGACCATTTTTAAGCCCCCAAATGGATTCCCACCTTCCATTTTACAAGCTTTAGATTAGATCTTCTTCCTCGTAGACCAGAAAGGTACGAAGCTACTTTTCTACGGTTAGCTTAGGATTCTTTTGATTTGATTTCAATTTTTATTTTTTCTTGTTTATTATGGTTGTTTGTCTGAGATATAGGGTTACGATTTGTTTGTTCTTTAATTTCGGTGCGTATTGACATATATACGATTTGTTTGTGGTTAGATCTGACTTGATTTAAGCTGTATATAGTTCAGCAGTTGCATTTTTTAAACCTTTTTGCTTTTATTTTGTTCAAAAATTCTAGTTCATATGTTTTTTTTTACCTTTTAGTGCTTTGTTGTTGAGTTGCAGGGCCTGGAAAGTTGCTCTGGTTTTAAGATTATGCAATTAGATGAGTTTCTTGTTTGGCTTGAAATTCTAATCATGATTTTGGGAGGCTAAACATGTAAAATTTAAAAATAAAAAAAAAAAAAAAAAAAAAAAAAAAAAAAAACAAGATTAAGACTATCCATTTGTGTAAAAAAATTGGTACTAAATGGGGCTCTACTTAGAACTCACAGATAATCTTAAATTTAACTTGGGTTTTGAATTTCTCTTGTGTTTGCAATTGAATGTCTTGTTTTTATTTTTGGATGTGCATTGTGTAGGTTTTACGTTTGCAAAAAGTCCACGCTGATGTCAACACTATCCATGAACTCTCAGTTGTAATGTCAATTGATTTCTCTAAGGCAGTCAATGAAGTCCACCTGAGCTTGAGTGATCACTCCTCTGCTTATTCCAAGAATTCTCAGGTGTTACATTTGACTTACCATTTGGCTCTCATTCTAACTGTCTAATTTGTTAATTTGGCATCTGCAAATTTGTTAAAATCGTCGTCTATGAGGTAATTAGGCGACGACATAACTCGACACTTGCTGCATTTGTTAAATCAACTCATGTCTCTGCTTTTCCCCCATGAAGTTGAAACCATGGTTGATTGTCTTACTGCATTCCCCATGCACAACAGCTACAAGTATCTCTTTTCTATTGTGAACAAGAAACAATTAATTGACTGGTGCAGAATGTGGATTGGAGAGAAAGGCTGGCGCTGCAACATGTCAAATCTCTTTTCTCAAAAGAGGCAAGTTCAACTTGATTGAATCTATGAGTAGCATGTAAGTGCTGGCAATTTTTATATTTTGTTGAGTTTTCTTTCTAACCAGTACACTAATTGGATCAACATTTAGGTCATTGATGTAATTGCAGCCAACACGAATGACATGGGGCCTTTGATCCTTGATTTCTTCAGAAAAACAATTTGTCAGCTTCATGGAAAGTCATTGGGGAAAAGACTTCAATTACAGATAAGGTTAGTACGTCTGTTATGTTTCTTCTTGATTTTTTAACCATCCCTGATAAATCTTGTGTGCTACTGCTGCAAAAATGTCATCCGTTTGTTGCTTGCTGCTGATTGTTTGCATTTTGGATTGTCTGTATAAAGATAAATTTTACAGCTGTAGATTCTAGACAAGAGACACCTAAGGTTAAAGTGGATGTATCTTCATGTGGTAATATCTTTTCAACATTACTTTCTGTTGTCCGTAAAACATTTCTGCTTTCTTTTTTATTTTATACAAATTTATAAATAAACCAAATCCTAGACATGTATTTATAAAAAAACCCAAGCACTATTTAAACATAGAAACACACCCAAAATCAACCCCAAAGTCAACTTTTTGGGTGTGTTTATAAATGGGTTTTGAGTGTGTGTAATGATGGGTTTTGGGTGTGTTTATAAAGTGTTTTGGGTGTTGGGTTTTTTTATAATTTCAACCTCCATTTTGGGTGTTTTAGTGAAACTCCCTTTATTTTATTATGATTTGCAGGTGATCATGCTCAACTTGTTGATCCCGCAAAACTAGCCCGACGGGTAATTATCATACTCCAGTGTGCTATATGTTTTGCTTGTTATATGTTTCTTTTTTTGTCAAAGCTTGTTATATGGTTCTTGCTTGCTTGAAATTTTCTAATCCATGTTTGCAAACTTAGAATGGAAATGAAATAAACTGTAATTAAACCAAGGTTATGTTTACATGGGTATGCTCCTGTTTATTATTTTTTCTAAAGGTTCTAATATGTGCTTTTATAAGCACTTCTGCAGCAATTAAGAGAGAAGAGACGCGAAAAGCGTGCAAATGAGTTGGAGTTATCTTATACAGGCTTCCTCCAACAACCATGGTATGAATTTTCTGTCACAAGATACTTCCAAATCTGTATACTTATATCTCAACTTTTGGAGTTAGTCAGCATCCAATAGAGAATATAGTACTCTTACTCCAGGTTGGCATCTTACTCCAAGTTAAGTAATTATATTATGTAGCCCTATATTAATAATCCTTTCATTATTGGTAATGTTATTATATATCTCACTATTACATTATTTTGGCTTGTTGAGCAGATTCCTAGGCCATGGAAGTGGATCTAACGAAGTTACTCCTAGTGGTAAAAGTTGAAGAAATGCATAGGAAAATTGGTGATGATGAATGTGTAGCTCTATATACATATGGAGAACTGGACTTGAAGGATAATTAGGTATAGGAATTTTGGTGTATTATTGTAATTAGGCTTGTAGCTTGCAGCTAGCGGCTCTAGAGTACTTTCATTTTTTAGATTTTATTTTGTTCTATTGTACTCTTGATATTCTATTTATGAAAGAAACAATTTTTTAGTATATATATGTATTCCGTGGGTAATAACATATTTGAGTATATATTTTTGATACCATAGGAAAAAAGAAAAAAAGAAAAACTAAAATGTAAAATTACGTCAGTTTTATAGCTAATAACTGTCATCTTAGAGTTAATAGACGACAATATTTCAAGAAATCGTTGTCTTTACATTTAATAGATGACGGTTTAGTAAACAAACTCAACGTCTTCGGATATAATAAACGGCGTCTTTATATAATATACGACGGTTTTTTCATAAAGAACCGTCGTCTTTAAAATTAATAGACGACGGTTCTTTTAGAAAAAGTGTCATCTTTACATTAATAGACTACGGTTATTTCATAAAAACTGTCGTCTTTACATCTAATAGACGACGGTTATTTTAAAAACCGTCGTCTTTACATGTAATAGACGACGGTTAATTACCGTCGTAGTTTGACATTCAAAAAGACGACGGTCGATTTAACGACGGTTTGAAAAAGAAAAAGACGACGGTGTTTTCCCGTCGTCTATTTCAATTTTTGTAGTACATCATCATCTTTTGGAATGAGAAAAGCTTCCAAGAAGAGCTCATCATCCATGCCCGGTACAGTTTCAAGTGCAGCAACAATGCGCGTTCTATTAAGCAGCAGTCTTTGTCCTCTTCATCGCCGACCAACCCTTTTACTATATGTGGTTTCTCATCCAAGGGTTCTTGTATCTCCTCCTTGATATGATTCTTTGAGCTCTTTTACTAGCTGAGGTGGATGGAGCTGCTGGTTTTCGCTTCTTTTGCTGATCCGATATTTCATACTCCATTGTTATTTAATGAACCTCACCTGTCATGTACTGTAAGATGTCATCTTCAGAATTTGTGCCTTCATGTCGAAGCCTGTTTCTTGAATGAATTATTGATCTTACTGCCTTTTCCTAGTTGGTCCAGCAAAAGCTTTAAAAAAACAAAGCAGGTGAATGCTTGGCACATTATTCATAATATAGGAAATGTAATTCATCACTTCAATTTCGTCCAATAGAATTTTCATAAAATTAATTACAAGCATTGGGATCAATTTCTTCCAAAATTCATGGGTAAGAAGAAAGAACCCCAATGAATTCCACCAAGCAGTTCGGAAATGATGCAGCGGAACAAGAACAAAATATATAATTTCGAGCAAATTTAACTCCGTTGATTCTAAGAATACCCGGAACTAAACTCTAATCTGTTAATTTTGAGAATACCCAAGAAAAGAGTAAAGAGATGAGAGAAAAATCTCAATCTTCATTCAATAACAAACATCAACTCCCCTTTCTTACAATTTCATGCATTATTTATAGGGGCCTCTCAATCAAGATGAGATAACTCCTCATAACTCTCATAAACCCTTCCTATCCCAACTTCCCTCCTAATGATAACTTCACATTAAACCTCCCTATAAATCATAAAGATGAAAAGACTCTCCATAACTTTATTCATGACCCTAGATAACTCTCACATACAAAGAGAAACTTATAGGTTATTAATACTTTCCTCATGCATGAACGTGATCCCAATGGTCCATGTATGCATTTGCTAAACTCGCTGCATCAGGAAATGACACAAAGATTTCAACAAAAAATATCTCTTGAAGATTCTAAAAGTTCATCCCACAAAAACAAAAAAACAAAAAACATGAGCAGTCTAGATGGTCCAGGATATTCTAACCAACCATTTATTTATACTGGAAAATTCCAGAAGGGAAGCCTCACACTTCCACCCTTGCATATCAGAAAGATACTGGATGAGTGTATCCGGCTTCAACAGTTTTATGACTCATGTCATTTGTATCTAGTCAAGAACAGAATGTCCTAGGTACATAGAGCCTAGTTTATGCTAAATCATGAAATATCAGATGGTATTCAATATAATCAAGTCAAAGATGCAAAAATGCTTACCATGAATGAAGTCTGCAGCACAACATGTATCATTCAGTGATGGTGCAAAGCAGTAATCTCTTGTAGGAATCACCAGACGGTTAATTCCGTGACACTGCCAAAAGTTTAATGGTTAGATTAGAGCCCAAAAAATAACGTAAATAAAAAACAAAACAAAATGCAGAAGTTCTAGTCAAGTATAGATATGACCCAAGTCAACTTTAATCCAGAGCATTCACGTATTAATAAATACAACAGTATGGCAAAGCACCAGCTAATCCTATCAGATACTTATGGCATTTTGGGAATTCTTCTCCTACTGAGAAGCACTTTTGTTAGAAGCACAACAAAACTTTGACTAAAAAACCAAGTGCCTCCGCCTCCTGAAAATGCACTTGCAAGCACTTCCTGGAGGAAGCACATAAAGTAAAAGCACTAACCTAGAAGCACTTGTAACCTTTTCTATCAAGCGTTGCCAAACACTATTTTGGCTATCAGAAAGTGCTTTTAGAACTTATAACCTTTTCTATCAAGCGTTGCCAAACACTATTTTGGCTATCAGAAAGTGCTTTTAGAACTTATAAAGGCATTGCCACACAGGCCCTAAATATTTCATGCAAACAAAAATAAAAAAAATAAAAAATAAAGATAAACTCTGCGCAGCAATAATATTTCATTTGAAGGAAAAATGTATCAGTCTATCTCCAACCAAGCAAACTCTGACAATGCAAATCTAGGAAACCACTAACATGATATAAAGATGCTGGAACCAAAGTCTTGTATGGCTCATTAAGTGTGATGACTCCATCGAACTCCAACTTCATGCAGGGCAACTGCACCTAACAATACAAACAGAAAATAGAAGTATTATAATTTAAAAAAGAAATTGATTCAGATCAAACAGTCCTACGAGCACATAAAAACTGATGCAAAACTACACAAACTTTAACGTGACGAATCTAAGGAATAGCACAACCCTTAATAATCAAATGAATACCAAATCAGTCACATGGAGAGCTTGATAGGTTGAGGAAGGAAGCAATCACAAGAGCAATGAAGGCCAATGGTTCAACACTTACACCTTGGGATCCACAGAACGAAATGGAAAAACACGTCCTGATTTGTCACTTGAAGGAAAATCATTGTCCCAAAGAAGGTGGCAGTAAGCAAAGACAACTAGCCACATGTACCAACAGAGTGCTTGTTGCTCCAAAAAGATCACCCTTTCGAGACATTGGAAACTCCTCGTTGCCGGTGAGGCAGAACAGCAAAGCAGTCTTCCCTTTGCATTGCCCTTTACCTTCCAAAACATAGAAAAGCTTTTTAGATTGGTTACATTGGATTCAACTTGGGAATCTTGCTCTTTTCCGACCATATTAACTGCAGGTGCTCTTCCTCTTTGCTAACCATACGAATTGTACGGGCACAGTTGAAGATCCATGTTCTAATTAATTTCAATAGTAGAGGATACCATTTGTGAGGGTTGGTGAGTTGCAATCCTGAGTTTTAAATGTTTGTTGTGGTTTTTCACTTATTGCATCAATGATATGCCTCCAATATCTATCACAGCTAATGAGCTAGAATCAGATGGTGGGATAAATAATAATCTAGATAAATAAAATTTAAATTAATATTAACTTAAATCAATTAACCCAGATCAAAGCCAAATCCATAGGAAAGCCCAAGTCCTCATGATTCAGTTAGAGTTCACATATCATATGCGGATAATGCTACAGAGACCACATTTATAAGAAGATCTATAAATGTGGTATCTCTAACATTTTGCATAAGATATTAGGTCTTTACACGCATTATGAATTATTATTGATTAGAGCATTTCTATCCATTTGCCATGGCAAAGGGTAAGGGGAGGCAAGGGCTGTTACTATTCACATGAATAGTGCTAGCCCTTGCAAAAGGCAAGTTGGGCTATTACTTTTTACTTTAAATTATATTTATTTTTTTAATACTTAAACAATTAATTTGGATAAGATTTTCGGTTGTCACATTTCAATATTTATTATAAAATTCACATTCATATTTCAGATAAAATTTTCGGTTGCCATGTGTCCATATTTATTATAAGATTAACATATAAGATTTCAGATAAGATTTTAGTTGCTACAATTGCACCACGTGTCATCTCTATATTCTAAATCCCTCCATGAAACCACAACCTCAACTCACAAAAATCATCCATATCCTCTCTAGCTTCAACTCACAGCTTCTATCTGTTGGGGGAAAGCAGGGCTGACACTAGCCTGGCGTCAGCATTGACATCACCAGACCTCAGGCAGGAGAACGGGCTGATTTTGTCTTGAGCCTTGCCCAGGTTGGTGCCCCCCACGTCTTGCCCAGATTGCATTTGTGCACTAGAAGTGCCTTTGCGGGCCCTCTTGTCCCGGGTTGAAATCATGATTTGGAAATGCTTTTAGATGCTCTAATTTTATAATGTCATGATGGCAAGTTATTCATGTGAAGCTCTCGAGGTACACATACTCCTGCGTCCACTTAAAATCATAACGACAATACATACTCCTTGATCACACAGGGATGTGATTATATATATAAAAAAAAAAAAACACAAAACGTTACACAATAAAAAGAACTACAATAACAAAAAAAAAAAAAAAAAAAAAAAAAAAAAAAAAAAAAATAATGTTTATGTTTTTTTAGGATCATTTATGCTTTTGTTGGTTGGGAAACTAAGGTATATATTTTAAGAGCATCTCCAAGAGAGACGTTAAATTCAACGTGACACTTTCAACATGTAAAATAGATAGCTGACACTCCCTCCAATGGAAATGTTAAATCCTACATGGAATAAATTTCTTTCTCCTGTTGTTATTTTTGGCTATTTGACTTTGTGATGTTATTTCATTATTTTATTATTTATTTTTGGCTTAATTATGTACATGCCCCTTGTGCTTTCAAACTTATCTCAGATTACCACATGTGTTTGCAAACGGCTCAAAGTACTCCACAACCTTTTAAAAACCATCTCACGTTACCCCTTCCGTCAATTTTTTTGACGTTCCGTTATGAATGTTACTGTTCATCCCAACCCCCCCAAAAAAAAATTGGCTAGTTTTTACCCAAATCGCTCATTTGGGCGATTCCGAGCACCATTTGCTTCGATCCAAGTATGGTTTTTAACCTCTCGAGCTGTTCTTGCTGCTAGTTATGTTGGTTATGAGAAATTTCTGAGTTTGGAGGGTAAATAAGCGATGAACAGTAACAAAAGGGAGGGGTTGCTGTTTAGGAAATTTTTTTTTTGGGTGGTGGGGGATAAACAGTAATGTTCGTAACGAAACATCAAAAAAACTGACGGAAGGGGTAACGTGAGACGGTTTTTAAAAGGTTGGGGGGGGTACTTTGAGACGTTTGTAAACACAGGTGGTAATATGAGATAAGTTTGAAAGCACAAGGGGCATGTACATAATTAAACCTTTATTTTTAATTAATATGCTTAAAAAGTAATAAACCAATAACCACTATATAATAAAATAATATTTTAATTTGACATATTGAGTCGAATATGTCCAATTGCAACATAAGCTATGAAATTCAAATTTAATGTTTGATATTTGACATCTAGATGCTCTAAAAACTAAAATTAATATAAAACTTTAAAAATAAATGGGCCTGAAGGGTGAGCTGGGCTAAAATAGCTTTGCATCAGTCTAGCCCGTTCTTCATGGGCTACGACCCACAATTGTTTTCTATGTTCCAGCACAAAATGTGCCTCCGCAGTTGCTCGACTAACACACCATAATCATCGCTCTCAACGTTGAAGCGTCTTCTCTCTCTCTCTCTCTCTCTCTCTCTCTCTCACACACACACACACACGCATTTTCATTTAGCTGTGAGTTCTCCAACTTCATCTGAGTATTTCATTCTCAATCGATCAGCGTAAGGCTCTACATTTCTCGCTGCATATATCTGCTAATGGATCTAGGGTTTCATTTAAATTTATGATTTGCTCTATGAATTCTTTCCCTTTAGTTTTTGTGGATTTTCTGTATTTATTCCTCAATGTATCTTGTATTACAAGATTCTGTCATTGTCATTTATTTATTAGGAGATTAAAAATATTGTTTTCCGTTTGGTATATATAACGTTGTTTTATTATGTTCATAATGGTAATTGCAGTCGGAAAAATGTCAGGAATTTACATCGTCGGAGCTGTCTTGGGAACCTTTGGGCTTACATATGTTTTGGACAAGGTTGTTTCTGACAAAAAGTTATTCGGAGGTAGAGTTTTGATGATAAAGTTGCTTGATGAAACTGTGTTTATATGAAAATAAAATAATTTAACCTAGATGATAAATAACCAGGCAATACTCCAGTGACCATTTCGAAGGAATGGCAAGTAGAAACTGAGAAGAAGTTACAGGCTTGGCCTCGCACTGCAGCATCTCCTGTTGTCATCAACCCTATCTCTCACCAGAATTTCATTGTCAAATCCACCTCTAAATAGGCCTCATAATAAGCTCAGTTCAGTTGAGGTTTTTTTTTCCTTCATTGTTTTCTTTCTTTTCATTCTTTGGCCTTATAAGTCATGCTAATAAATATCTCAATGTTACTGATATAAAACGGTGACAGGAAAATATTTCCGTCAACGGAAATATTTTTTTGGCTATTTGTTCTTTAGAATGTGAATTACCTGTTAGCTTTTTGTTCAGATTTAAAGGTCTATATTTCCCCTAGATGAACATGATTTTAAACGTTGGAACTCTACTTGACATTTGAATATATTATATATGGGTTGGAGATGCTCTAAGATTCATTTTGCAAATGGTTGTTGGGGCAGAGTTCTGTTGTTGGATTTGAATAGCATCTCTTCAAAAGACATACGGACATTTGGTTGCCAAGAATTTTGGATTGGTTTGCTTCCTATGCATCATCAATTGGCAATCATGAATCATCCATTACTTTATATATTTATCTTTATCGTAGTCAAGATAGAATCAATCTTCCATGGTACGGAAGGTTGTTGTGTGCCTGCCTGCCAAATATGTGAAACCCTTCCAAAACCCTTGATTTTCGCCCACATGACTTGCTCTTGGCTCTATTCACTACTTTAACCCAAAATGCATCATCATTCTCAATACTTGACACGTGTCTGTGGACATACTACAGTTAAATCATTAATATCTATATTTGTGGAACTATGGTTATACTTATGGACACATATCAAGTGTTGAAAAGAGTGGTGAAGATGGAACCATGGTTATGCTCATGGACACATGTCAATTATAGAATTAAGAAAGATAAAATGGATTGTTCCATAAATATAGGATCCATATTCTGATTTTTTTTTTTGTTACATTTTTTAATCCGGATATAAATTTACAATATTATTCTCATTTATTTAATATTTTCAATTCTTAACACTATCATTAACAACCAAGGGCATTTTTTAGTATTTTAAATGTTTTATCCTTTTGCTTTATAGATATAGATTCCAACCAATTGACCTATTCAATCAACTTAGTAGTAAAAAACGTTAATTAATCGGGATCCTGAGCCTCTACATTTAGACGTTGTGCATTTACCCGCATTTTGTGACATCTAGATCATTCTAATAATCTAATGGTCTAAGATATGACACTTCAATTTTTAACTTTTGACACCTATCTATTTAATTAACTTTAACCCTAACACTGTTAACTCTAATTATTATTATTTTTTAAAAGACTAAATAATTTTATGAGTTATTGATTTCAATGGTCCCCCAACTATTGCTCCAGTATCATTTTGAACCACTAACTAAAATTTCATTTCAATGGTCCTTCAACTCTTCATTTGTATCAAAACAGTCCTACTGTCAAAGTCTGCCAATTTTATTGTTAAAGTGGGGGGGGGGGGGGGGGGGAAACTATCCATAAATTAATTAAAAATTAAAGGAAACTATTATTAAAATTAGAAAAGAAAAATTGAATCTCACCAGAAATACCTACTGTAGTTGGAGGACCAGGAACAAGGAAGAGATGTGATTCACCACCACCACCACCACCTCTCTCTCTCTCTCTCACCAAAAACTTCTCAAGACACCCACTACCTCCTCTCCCAGCTAGATAGATCCCATCACAAAAGTAGAATTAGCAATGAATAAGAAGGAAATTGGTGAACAAGAAAGGAAGATAGAGTCGACCATGACATCAGTTGGCTGGAAGTAGATGAAGAGGTAATACTCGTGTGGGGGACTTTTTCTTCCTGCAGCTAATGGGCTGGGCTGCTGTAAAAGGGTGGATTGAGGAGACTGTCCCCTTTTGCCTGGGTTCGAAAATTAAGCCCCAAAATACCTCGAAAGGGTATCAAAACCTTAGGAGATATTTTGGCTATCTTCACCGATCAAAATAATGGTGACTTACAGATAATTTTGGCATGCTTTCAGATAGTCTTTTAGCTCATCATGAGTGGCATGTGGCATGGGAGCAAAACCAACATAAGTTTAGCACTAAGAAAGAGGTTAGGCTTGGTTTATGAGAAAAGACAGTATTAAGGTAAGGAATGAGGTGTTTTGTGAGGAAGTTTGACTGGGGAAAGAGGAAAAAGAAAGACAGAATTCTTCTGGCAGCTGCCAGAAAAACAAATTGGAGAAGAAGATGAACAGTGCACGAGGTAGTTAGATTTTTGCAAGTTAGAGAGAAAGCTTGCTCCCTGAATTTTTGAGTTGTTTTTGTTGGGTAGGGGAAGCCTCAATTTATAGCTGCTGGAAATCACCATTCTTCAAGAAACCCTAATGGCTTCTACTTATTTTGGTTAAGCTTTTTCCTCCTTTCTCCTCCTCTTCTCTGACTTCCCTTTCTTGGCAAAAATTGCCTCTGTTTATTTGCTCGAATTCAGGAAATTTGGGAGCTCAATATCTCCCTTTCCCGCAGCTGCATGGTGAGAGCTTCCCTTCTTGGTTACTGTTTTTTCTTCTTTCCTTCCCCCTGCCTTGGCTGAATCTGATGAAGGAAAGGAAGTGAAAATATATGCTGGTCCAAGGGGTGCTTTTGACAAGGTGCAGGCCAGCATTCCTTGGTTCTTTGGGCGTCTCTGGCTTGGAACTTGCTCCCAGCAGCTTTGCTTGATGAGTCTGCCAACCTCCTCCTTCACGTGTTCTCTGTTTTTCAAAAGAGCTGAAGCTTTTGTGGGCTATTTTGGGTTTTTCTAAGGGCCAAGATGGCTTTCCTAAGCAAATGGGCTTTTTGTGAAACATTGGGCCTCTTGATTTGGGCTTTTTTTTTGGTTGGGTTATCTCTTGGTTAGGTTATTTTGCTTGGGCTTTTGGGCTACTTTTCTCTCTTGTGCTTACCCACATGTTTGGGCCTAAGAAATGGGCTTGAGTCTCGAGGCTCCCAAGCAACCCGAGACTTTCCATTTCTCGGCCCATCAATGGGTCTCATGTTGATTTATCACCGTCCATACCACAACCCACTCAAGCAAGCCCCGGTTTTTGAGTGGCTTGGGCCCACTTAGGCTTGTGGCGTGATTGGGTGTGCGATAATGATTTCGTGCTTGGCATGGCACATTGCTTGGCATGTTTTAATTTATCGTCATGCGATGCTTATTTTTGCATGGGCTTGTAAACATGGTATATTTTATCTCAACCTTGAGCGAATTTATTTATTTAGCGTGGCACATGCATTGTAATTCGCATGTGATAGGTTTCGGTGCACTCTGCTTTACGCTTTTTCCTAATGGATCGTTGTTTTGGGCTGATAATTTATCGGGCCCAACCATGTATTTTTTGGGTCTCAACATTAGCCCCCTTAATTATAAGGGCCATGAACAGGTGCTGGAATGGGCCGAGTAATTAAAACCCAACCCAAAAAATCAAATTTGTATTTGTGGAGAACTCTTCCTCTTCCCGCGTGCAAAATGACGGCGTGCCATGATTGGTCCCAGCGGTTATTTGCAGTTTCCCAGCGCCAACTGCCTTCCTCTTCTTTTTATTATTATTTTCCTCCTTTGTTTCTCTTTTCTCGCACCAGGCACAAACTTCTTCCTTTTCCTTTCTTTTTTACGCTCCAGACCCAAAACTTCTCTCCAACTATCTTTCTTGCGTTCTCTTTTGCTCTTCCACGAAGTCAGACCAAGTGAGAAAGTGCAATCGGGTAGAAATCACCCATCTCCAGCTGCTGGGAAGAAAGACCCCAGTCCGACTCAGACTCAACCTCGTCGTCCCTCCTTCGTTCAAAGAAGATCCATTTGCTGATGCTGGAAGGTTTTCTTTTGTGCGGGTTTTGCCTTCAAATCCCCGATTTTCTCCTCTTCTTGGTGCATCCAAGGCCATCCCTTGGAAGATTTAACAAGGTACCCCCTTTTCTCCAGTTTTTCCCCTTAGATTGATTGGAGAATTTGTTGGGTTTCTCATACCCATGGGTGTTGCCTTTTCGTTTTGGGCAGCCAAATACCAAATCCCTTTTTTTTACCCATCTTTTACTGCTGCAACAGAATGTGCACGGACTGGGTACTAGCAAGGAAGAGCCCGTGCCGTTGTCTGAGTTTCTCCTCCTTTGATTTTGCTCAAGCTGCTGGAAAGGTACCCAATTTTTTTGTTGGCTTGGTTTTTCTCCCTTTTCCTTTTTCTTCACCTTTATCTTGCACAGGCTTCCTCTTTGTATGTGAAAAAGGCTAATCTTGGCATGATATGCTTTCTCTTTTTTTATTTATGTGCAGGTATATACGTCTCGGCATAGGTGAGGGTAGGTGCTGGAAACCCTTGACGTTTCTGCTGCTGGAACCTTCGAATTTCTCAGTCTTCTTACTTGGATTTTTTTTTGGGTGCTTTTGTCCTAACCTTTTGGTAAATAACTCTGCCAACTTTGGGTATTTTAGAATAGGTGTAGACTGATGCTTGGCCTAGGCTTTCTTTCCTTGAGAACGCATGCCTAATCAATTGTGGGTTTCTTACGTGTGTTGCTTATGGAGAACAACACTTGACAGAGTGCATGTTCTGTACTGCCTGGTTGAATATTTATTTTATTTATTTTTTCATTTGAGAAGGGACTTTGCTTATTCTGCTTGTTGATCACGGAGTGAGACTTTTACTTGTCATGCGCTTGAATTTTAAATTGCATGTTTGCTTGGATGAACTCGACCAGCCACGTTGATATGTGGCTTGCGCGTGCTAATTTTATTTTGCTTCTTCCCACTCTTTCGTGTGCAGGTGTTCACTGTTTTGCCAAGAGTTACCATGACGTCTATTAATCCATCATCCGTTATCAGGGACCATCTTTACTCCACGGATGACAGTTAAAGAGAGGGAGGCCCCCTCCTTTGCTTCAAGGTATTGTATAGAGAGAGGCCTATTTCCAGCAGTCCCCTTGTTCTTTCAGTATCCATGCGGCACCAGCAAGGGTTGGTCAGAGTGGGTTGATCGGGAGTTGAAGAATCCGTCTACCCTGTGACATCCTAAGCCGGGTAGGGGTGCTGGATTCCATCCTTATTTCTAAGGCTTGCGACATCCATATTGAAGCCCGGATGCTTCGACACGTGGTTAGGCGATGGAGTACTAAGACACATACCTTTATTTGTTCATGGGGAGAGTTTACCCCTACGCTTGAGGATGTAGCCACCATTTTCCACCTTCCACTTTGCGGCAGCCAAGATCCCTTTCCACATTGTATTAACCCCGAAGATAACTCAAAGTTTGAGGCCTTACGGAAGGGTGCCCCGACTTCTCCTAGTACTTCCCTGAGGTTCAGCAATTGGATTCATTTTTTTGGGACAGTGAACCGAGATGACCGTGTCGCCTTGCTGCATTTGTGTCATTATGGCTTGGGAGATTCCTCTTTTGTGATTTTTCCCAAGACTGCTTGCAAGAGAGGTATTTCCGTTGGCTTGGCAATAGCACAGGGGTAGCATGATTCCTTTAGCCCCCATGTTCTTGGGGCACCTATACCGATTGCTTGATCAGATTCAATTTCTTGAGAAAGGGGACGGCAGGAACTATGGCTGTGGAGACTTTGTGAATTCCAGCTTTCTGCAAATCTTCTTATGGGAACGCTTCAAAGGGTAGAGGTATCTCCACTTCCCTATCCAAAGGCTAGATCTCTTGTTGATTCCGATGCGGGTTCTTATGTGCCGGGTAATCTTCCCTTGATATGTCGATGGTCTCGTAGAATGCAAAGAAAGGGCCAAAATTTTTTAGAGTTGCTGGATGATGTTGAGCAATTTATCTTCCGTCCCTATTGTGCTTTATCAGAGGGATTCAGAAGTATACCCTCTATGCCGATTCTGATGTTTTAATGGAGGCCTTGGCCATGCCAACACAAGGTTGTCCGTTACGTAGAGAGGCATTGTTAAGTGCTGCATGCCTTCCTTTGCCCATATTTGGTGATGACCACTCGGAGGTTTCTGTGCATTATTCCCCTTACCGGGTTAGACGACAGCTTGGGTTTGACCAAGGCGTGCCTTCCCGTCCCAACCATGGAGATTCCTTGACCTTGCACAGGGTTTTTTGGACTGGTGACAGTGTGCCGGGAGACGGCAGACCTCTTGCCCTTGCTCTGGCCACCGGCAGCGCGTTGGTAGTCTCTCAAAGGCCTACCAAAATTATTGGAACCGTTGCTTTGCCTCATTTAGCCGATTCCATGCTGCCCATTGTGATAGATTGATTCCCACCATCATTCATCATGCCCGCTTAGTGTCGGAAGAGAAAGCCATTTCCCTGAGCGAGAAGCGAATCTGCCTTTTACTTCCAAAAGCGGAGAGATCGTTGGTGATTTTTCGAAGCTAAAGCGGAAATTGGAGAAATCGGGTTCTCACAGCACCGGGAAAAGTGCTGTACATGGGAAACGGAAGCGAGAGGAAAGCTGCAGCGTTGAGAAAAGGCAAGCTGTAAAAGGGCCGAAAAAGTTCATCCCCAAGGTAGCAGCAAGTGGTCCTCCTAGCTCAAGAAAAGTTGCCTTGCCAGAGCCTTTCCAGCAGCAGCCCTGTAGCCTTCCGGCAGCAGCGAGCGAACAGCACCAAGAGCTTCATCTCCTCGCAGTAAGTATTGCCATTTGTTTGCTCTCTTTGTTTCCCGCTCTTTATATACATATAAGTATACCTTTTATCTTATTTTACAGGTACTTCCCAAAGTAAAGGCAAGGGTAAGGGGTTTCCCGTGATCCCGAAGCGTCGAAGCATGCGTATTCTCGAAACACGGTTTGCCAATACCCGCAAGAACAAAGGTGAAGACTCGGGACCCAAAGTAGTGGTAACGGTTGATGATAATAGTGATGATGGTAGCGATGACAGTGGTGCTGTGGGGACTGAGATTAACATCCACGAGCAAGAGAGCACTCACGATACAAGTGGCATGGATGAGGACCTTGATGAAGGCCAATACTATAGTCACGATGAAGACACATATTCGGACTTCGGCACTAACTTGGAGGAGCTCGATGCCTCAGATACACCTCCTGCTTTGGCTAGCAATCATGGACAGCGTGTCGACATTGAACTGGTATCAAATATCCCTCTTGCTTGTTTTACTTGGCATATTGACATTGCATACTGCCCGTTGTGTCCCATAGTTCATACTTTGCTTTTCTCCTGCAGGTCGTGCCCACCATTGAGGACACGATAGGTGCCTCATCGGAGGCTGGTTTTGCCTTTCCCACTACTGTCGCTGATGCTGTCCTGAGCCTTCCGGCAGTGCAACCTCCTCCTTCTCCTAACCTGTGCACTCCTGACATGGCTGCTGACGCCTCTCCGCCACTTCTAGCAGTTCCTCCTCCTATTTCTCCAATCCCGAGCGCACCTGACATAGCTTCCGGCACCGCTCCACTTCTTCCAGCAGTACATTCCCCTTACTTCTTCCGATCCTCCATCCCGAGCACACCTGACATAGCTTCCGGCACCGCTCCACTTCTTCCAGCAGTACATCCCTTTGCTGAGATTATTGACAATAGTCATAAGAATGGTGATGCTTTTATCGCAGGTTCCTCAAAAGGGCATTCATTCGAGAAAGGCATGTCTTGGCAAGATTGGGAAAATTCCTACACGGCATTCAAAGCCTTTTTTGATGGTGGTGTCACCATTCTTAGATCCATTGATGAACTTCTTCCGCTTTGCCACAGATTCGATGGTTATGTGACATTCCAAGGTGCCCTCGTGTATCCAGAGACGGTTGAAGCCTTGAAAAGGTTCATGGACAAATACGGAAGTTTGATGGAAGCTACAGATGTCACCTCCTCTTTCTCAAGGTGCACTGCCCTTCGAGCCCTTGGCTTAGTACTTCATGGGATGGACACCATGCAACTCCTTGATATTACGGATCACAAACTGCTCTGTTGGCGAGATGCAATATGTGAGGCCATGATTCTGGGCTTTCGCGTGGAATTTCTTCTCAAACTCGTGAAGAACTTAGCACGTGCCGTCTTTGGAGCACGGGCCATTCGTAGTATGCAATTATCGCATGACTCTGATGAAGTAAAAGCTGCTGCAGATGCCTTGAATATTAAACAACAGGAGTTGGAGAACCAGCGCCGGGAGATGCATGCCCTCCTTCTTGCTAAGGGTATTTCTGTTGACAGCGCTGAGTGCGTGACGGAGGCAGCGGCCAGATTATCTCCTGGGGCTTCCTTTGTTCTTTTCGGACATTCCCCATAGCTTAAAGGTACTCAGCTCATTCATTTTTTTTTTTTTTTATCACGTTACATATTCCAGCAGCAGCTATTTTTTGACACACATTTTCTTTTCTTTTTTGCAGATTGCCCATCCTTGGCTTGGTAACCATTTAGCTTGGCACATGATCCTGCTTTCTTTGTGACTTAAGGGCGCGTGAACCTTCAGCATATGCAGTTTTATTTTGCTTTGTTTGTAGTGTTGTTTTTTTTTTTTTGAGACTCTAACGACTACGTCGTTATGCCTTTGTAATTTTGATATTAAACTACTGAAGCTTGTATGAATTTCCGAATGCTTGAGGCATGTTGCATATTTCCTGTGTATATATGTATATGTACTGCTTTGTTGGCCAGAGTTGTCTTTATGGACTGCTTGAAATTTTCTGACAGGTTGGATATCATTGAAAACAGGGTATATGCTGTCAAAAATTTTTTTTTAACAGAAGCAAAATTTTCGAAAGTTTCTTTTGCATGGCTTATCTAGATTCTAAGCTTGACAAAATAGCTTCCCACCTTTCCCAAAGGGTCGAGCCAATATGTGCATGATTTCTACTTGGGCTCTATAAAGCTTCCAGGTGTTGTATCGTGTTGTTCCAGCACCTCAAAATTGCATGTCTCTTTGCAACATGCCTTATGCTATTTTTTATTATTATTTTTTTTTGCTTAAGCGTGATGCTTGGGGACCCCATCTAAGTGACTTTGCCCGGCATGTTTCACTACTAAGTGGCATGTTTTTATATATATATATATATATATAGAGAGAGAGAGAGAGAAAACTTGAGAAAGGGTTAATAACAGTAAAGTTTTTGGAGACACAATATATTTTTTTTCAAAATATTCCTTCATTCTCATTGTAAAAGCCCTTGCTACCATAATGGTGCATCATACAAAAGTGTTTTTTTTTCAAAACGTGAAGTCCGGCGGTTCCCTTCGCATACTTTGGAAGATGCATATTGCCACGCATTGGAAGCTGAGACATATTTGTCACCACAATATTCAGGATATTCTGGTCAACTTGCAACCGCCAACCAAACTCTTCCCACTATGAATATGCAGACAGGGTTTTCAGGACCATCTAACCTGCCTGCACCGCCACCTAACAAAGGACCATTTCCATTGCCATGCCAAAGGACATATTGCCTCTTGTTGTCCGCTACGAACTTTAACTATCAACACTCCCGCTAGTGAGCTTTGTGAGATTGTGGAGCCTCTCGAAGGTGTCTATGATCCGGAAATTGATGATTACTGACCCTCGTCCCCTATTATTCATACTTGCAGTCAGCTTTGTCTCATTAATTTACCTTTTGTGGTTGTTTACTCATCGGAGTCGAGTTCTTTTCAGCGGAGGAGAATGATGCAGGACGCGTAGGACCTAATTCATTAGTTTCCAAATATATTGTTAGTTTCCTAGATTCTCTGGTTTTCCAAATTCTAGTAGGATTTCTACTTTTCTAGATTTCTAGTTTTAAGTTTCCTATTTTATTTGGGTTATGATTTCTTTTAAGCAAGGGATTTTTATCCTATTATGTCTAGGTTTTAGTTTGCTATAAATACCCCTATGTTCTTTAAAATTGAGATTTGAATGTTGAGTAAACCTTTTCCTAGAACTCTCTGATTTCGTCCCTTCGATCTATATTTCTTCTCCTCGATCTCCGATATTCTTCTTTGTTCTACTATTCTGTCCTTTATCTCGTCTTTTCGATCTGTATTTCTTCTCCTTGGTCTCTTATATTCTTCTATGTTCTATTGTTTGAGTGCTTAATCTAATACCTACGGGCTGTACTATATCACCATCTCTAATCTACCCTTAAAATTTATGTTTCTAGTAGCTGTCCACCAAAGGGTTTTAGAATTTTTCTTATTTAGTTCCTAAGATAGTATTTGATTCATTGAGTTGATGCTGCTACATGGACAGGGACGCCTGTGATGTTTCGTCAGAATGCCCCACCCATTAATTTATTTCCATTTCTGGAAAATTCAAGGAATGTGCCAACAACTCTTAGAGACTTTAAATCCATGGAATTGTTCCCTCAAAAAGCTGGTTTTGGCTCCTCTGTTCCATAGAAGAGTCCAATTTCTGTAAATTTAAAGGCATTGTTGCAGCAGATGACCATATTCTATGGCGGATAAGTAATAGTGTTCAACAGAATAATTGACAGAGAGAGGAATCGGGTGAGTTGCAGGTATGAACAGACCTTGACTGTTTTGCCGATTTCACAGAATAATTGACAGACTTTGACGGTAGGACCATTTTGATATTAAATAGAGAGTTGAAGGACCATTGAAATGAAAAATTCAGTTCGTGGACCAAAATGATATTGGAGCAATAGTTGGGGGACCATTGAAATCAATAACCCATAATTTTATTTATTTATTTATAAAAATCAATAGAGGAAAAACCACAAACCAATCATCAGCCACCCATGACCCACCCCCACTCACGGCAATCCCTTCCCTCCTCATAGCCAAGCCAAACTCCCCTCCTCTTTAACCTCTTCTCTCCCTCATTTTAGTGAAGCATCGTTTGCACAATCGTCTATATTTTGCTTATTGTGCTTGGGTTTGAGGAATTTGTAACTATTCATTTGTCTAAATTGATGCATGGCTGAGCAACTATGACGGGGGCTTCAATCTTCTTGACCTACAAAATTTGAATGTCCTAGTCCATATGCATATCGGTGAGAGTTGCTAACCAAATCATTTGGTTGATGTCTTTGTATTCTTGCTAACTGGCGATGTCTTTCTATTCATGGAAGAGAGAGAGAGAGTTGTCAACGGTGAACAGTGGAGAGGGGTCGGGGTGGCAGTCGGAGTTGGGTAGGTGGGATGGCTGCTAGGTTTATAATTGAGTGCTGCTATTTCCACCCACCTGTCCTATTTTCCCACCCACCATATAAATTTTAAAAAACACAATCCTATTTTTACACCCACCAATATTCCTAAAATACCCTTTTAATTATTACCTCATTTCCTCTCTCCGTTATTCTCGCTGCTCATGTCTTCTCTCTCTCTGACGGCCCACACATCTCTCTCTCATTTTTGGCTCTATCTTATTTTCCATCTCTCACACTCCATTTCTGCCTCTGTCTCTCATGTTTACTGAACTAAAACAATTTTTTGCTGTAATTTTTATTTTTATTTTTGTAAATATGGATTTTGTGAATATAATCACATTTATGCTCTTAGCTTTCTACTATTGTAAATAAACTTTTTCTCCAGAGTTATCCAAGGATCATAAATCTATTGAACATTGCAATAAAAAAATATAAAACACCCATTCTTAAGACATGGGAATGTCAAAGAGTACCAAGCCAAACAGATAAGGGAAAAACAACAGTACTCGCCTTCTTCACATTCTCATGAGCAAGGAGTCGTATTCTTGTGTTTTTTTTTCTCTCTCTGTCGAACGATAGGGTTACTTGAGAATTGAGAAGTCTGCCTTTTTTTTTTTCCTCTTTCTTTTTCCTCAAGTACTTTTAAGTCATTTTACAATAGGGTTAAATTTGTCTTTAAAAGTTAAAAGATAAGGTGGGTGGAAATAGCAGCACTCTTATAATTTTTTCTCTATTATTCAGTTTAATTTGTTTATTTTAAATTAGAGTTAATAGTGTTAGGGTTAGATTAATTAAATAGATAGGTGTCAAAAGTTAAAAATTGAAGAGTTGTATTTTGGACCATTAGATTATTAGAATGGTCTAAATGTCTGAAATGCGGGTAAATGTGCGGTGTCTAAATGTAGAGGCTCGGGATCTAATTAATAGATATGGCATGTCATTTTTACAGCTTTGATCGTTTAAAATGAAACAGATTTAAAGAATGAAAATATTTCAAAATTTTTTTACAAAACAAAGCATTATAGTTTAAATACTTCGTTCACGATACACACAAGTCAACCAGTATACGATACAATAACACAACAAACACAATATATTAATAGGAATTGCCATCCCTATTATGCATACCTTTCTCATGTTTCAGAGTTTGCAGTTGGAGTTGGCATTGATCAGTCCCTAGAAGCATAACCGAAAAATTGTATGGAGTCATCACAATGTTTTTCTTTTTGTTTGTATCAATAAAAGAGGGTGTTCAACTTTGGACCTCTTAGAGCACTTCCATCACTGAAGGGAGTCCTGGCAAGGGGGGGCCCAAGCAACTAAAGGCAGCTCTAGCCCAAGAGTTCCAGCCCCTGGTAAACAGTGGCCCTAGCAACCTGGGCAAGTCCACCGGCAAGTTCAGCTCGAGCTGTTGCCTAAGCAAAATGACACGATGATGTTAGCAACAACAAAAAAAAAGAAAAAAGAAAACCAAAAATTTCAGATTTTTTTAATAAATATCTAGCCAAATTCTTTACTTCCCACACCAAAAACTCTATGCAAATTCATCTCTTCATATCTCATGTGAATGGTAATTGCCCTTGCCCTAGCCCATAAGAGTGGAAACAAAATTGCAAGGGCTACCACTATTCACGTGAATATTGAGTTGGTGAATCACAATGTCTATTTGTACCACTACTACAAAAATAATCAAAGGCCACAGAAATATAAGGGCACACATACAATATTGTGCCCTCCTTTCTAACATTAGACACAAATATAGTATATTTATTTTTTTTTTTTTTTTTTTTTTTTTTTTTTTTTTTTGGTATACAACACAAAATATTGTGAAAAATTCAAGCACATGAACCACGGATGAAAACATAGAAATGATGCTAATCACGGTACCATTGTGTGAGTTCCATCATGTGTCACCGGCACATTTGAGACTTGTTTCTTGATTTAAGCCTCGCCCCGTTATAAGACAATCATTTTCAAAAGCTATCACAAGCTTTTCTTGGAGTTGCCCTCTAAGTAAATCATGCCGCTTACAAGATGCCCCAGCATGATTAACCACACTATTAGCCGTTACAAAAAAAGAGTCAATGTCTATATTCTTCTTTGCCACGGTAACAAGAGCTAGTTGAAGTTGATGAGTAAAGCAATGAACATAATATGCACAAGGTTGTTCTCTCAATATCTTTGTTTTAAGGCCATTCAACTCACCTCTCATATTGCTAGCACCATCATAACCTTGTCCTCGTAGCTTGGAAAGGCTCAAACTGTTGCGAGAAAAGAATGTGTCAATAGCATCCTTTAGTGAACTTGAAGTAGTGTCAGTAACATGTTGAATACCCACAAATGTTTCAATTGCATGCTCTTTGTCATCCACATAACGCAACACCATCGCCATTTGCTCTTTCACCGATGCATCACGTGCTTCATCCACCAATATTGAAAAGAATATATCTTTTAGACCATCCACGATAGCATCAAGTGTTTCAAGGGCACATGAATTCACAATTTCTTTTTGAATGCAAGGAGCTAGTAATTTGAGATTCCCCGGAGCATTTTCCATTATAACTTCTCTAACTTTATCATCATTATCTGTAAGGAATTGCAAAAGCTCCAAGTAATTTCCCCTATTGCCTGAAGTGGCACTTTCATCATGGCCACGAAAAACAAGACCTTGTCGCAATAAAAACTTAGTGCACTTGATTGATGCATTCAAGCATGTGCGATAAGCCTTACAAGCTTGGTTGGAGTGTTTGCTCATTGCTATTTCAATATGTGTATTTTCATTCGTCAAATTTATAGTAGCTTCTCTAGCTTTATTATGAACACTCCCAACCAGTCCAACATGCATCTTAAATCTTTCTCTCCCTTTCTTCCAATTATTAAATCCATCTCCAATGAAAGCTTCACTACCCACTTGTTCAAAATTGGTTTTAAAGAGATAACAATAAAGACAAAATGCTGCATCTTTAGATATACTATACTCCAACCAATCAAACCATTGGGGAATGAAGCGTCGATTAATTCCTGACGTATTAGTTATTGGGAAATTATGACCTCTAGGTTGACAAGATCCTTTTTGTAGATATGATCTTCGGACCTCATCTCTCATATTAGCTTCATAATCTATCATTCGAGTTCTTAATCAATATAATGAAAATAAAAACTCACAATATAAACAAACCATCAATATAATCAAAATAATATAAATTGAATTTCAATTAAATTAAATATATTCTACATATACAAAATAATGAAAATAAAAACTCACAATATAATCAAAATAAATATGAATTGAGTTTCAATTAAATTAAATATATCATACATAGTAACATAGGGTTTAGAACTTACTTGAACTGTGAAATTTCACAATAACAATGAGAAATACAAAAAGAGTAGCTGCCTGGCGGCACCACCACAGCGACGACGACGGCAACACAAAGGCACCTTAATGGCGGCAACAAGGGAGGAGATGGAGTTGAGGGTTTGGGGGAGGGAGGGATTGAGTTGGGAACTTAGGGTTGGAACTTGGAGGAGAAAACAAAAAAAAATTGGGGGTTTTTAGAATGGAATTGGGTCTGTGGAGAAGGAATGGCTGGAGATGATACGCTGGTGTTATTTTTTTTTGTTTTTTTTTTTTTTTTTTTTTGTTTACCTGGGCCAGCCAAACGACGTCGTTTTGCCCAGGTGGTTTTAAAATAAAATGGTGTGCACTAGCCTTTCTTCTTCAGCTTGCAACTGTTCGTTCTTTCACACATTTCGTCGACCACTTGGTGTGCAGCTCCAAGAGGTTGTACCAGCAGCTCCAAGGACCTCTAGGCTTATGTCCATGGCTTCCAAGAGGTTGTGCGACCCCACTGACCCCACTGTGGCTCCACCTCTGTCCTGACCCGTTCTTCAGAAAAAGTAAGTGAATTATTTGGAGAGACACAAAACATTTGGGTCTTTTTCTCTGACAGATGTGACATGTTCTAGACACAAAAACTATTTTATGCCGAATACTTTATGTTAGTATGAAAATAGTTTGTCATTTCCTAGACTCTAGCATAGGTTGAAATTGGCGTGTGAAGAATTGTTACGGGATGTTTTGGCACAACTCATTCAACCCCATACATCTGAGGCATGACTTGACCGATATGAGAAACTTGACTTCAGGTAAATCATGACATAATCATGCATTCATTATAGGATTCCTAGTTGGAGTTTTTTTCACTCAAGTATTTTTATGTTAATCTTATTTTTAATAGGATTAGATTTTATCTCTTGAGATTACTTTCCTAGTTGAACTCTATTTTGATTTAAGTTAAAATATTATTTTTTTTCCTTGACTTGAAAAACAATTTTTATTAATATCTAATTGGTCTCTTTGATAAAGATTGTTATCTTGAATAACAATCCTTGCATAAGCTGACGAATTGGAGAGTATTAGTGGTCTCCTTGTTTTTTGACGTTTTTTAATCTTGTGCCCATATTGAATCACAACTAATAGTCACAGTTGAATAGGTTTAATGTGAGTTCATATTGCATCAGGTTTAGGAGTCTTAGTGGAATTGGTTTTGTGAATCCTTGTTGCATAGGAAGTTTACTCACGTGGGTTTCTCTGAATTGAGAGAAACCTGCATGGAATAAAACCATTGTTGTTTCTTTTGATTAGTAGCTTTTCAAGGTATTGATTTTTCTTTGGAAAATATTGAATCTGTTTTGCAAAAGTTGCCAAACTCAAGATAAGTTATCAAATCCTTTCTTCATTCATATTGCATTCATATGCATGTCGGTGACTCATACGGTTGAGGGCACCAAGAACGTGGTGGCGGTTTTCCTTCGGCGAGCTTGAAGCAATCGTGACCAGTATTGCGTTCAACATAAGGAGTGTCGAAGATCATCCTGTGACAAAAGTTGAGTTACGAAGAAGTCGGTAAACATTATCTAGAATGTGTCTAGGATAAGTGTGTGAGTACTTCTTGTAATCATCGTTCTATAGTGGATTTGTGTTGGACTGAGGAGTCTTGTGGATTTTCCCCAAAGGTGGGGTTTTACTACGTAAAATAATTCTCTGCGTGTTCTTTTATTTTATGCCCAGCATGGTTCAAGATTGATAAGCCATATCAATCCTGCTACCGAAGTTTATTTTTATTTATTTGATTATAATCTTAAATTGGCCTATTCACCCTCCTCTAGTCATTTTTAGTCATACTACAGGTATTTTCACTTTACTATAATTTAGATGTGAAGTAATTTTTTATTTCAAACTCTATTTTTTTCTACCATACACAAAAATCATTTTGTGCCCAATAAGTTGTAATAATTTACATCGCGAAGTAATTTTTTTTTCTTTTCAAACTCTGTTTAATATTTCACGGGTTCCCTTAAAGTTTCTTCTATTTCGTTTGTTTTGTAATTTTTTGTGAAAATACCACCGCTCTCCAAAAATTTTAAAAATACCACCTATAAATGCATCTTTACTGTCCACTGATTGCACCCATATCACATTTTCAGAAATTTGGTTCTCTCTATGCTTGCTCAGCCCCTTTTTCTCTCTCTGTCTGTCTCTCTGTCTCTTTCTTTGCTCTCTCTCTAGCGCAGCTCTCTGTCTCTCTCTTTGCTCTAGCCCAGATCTGTGTCTCTCTTTACTCTCTCTCTCTCTCTGACGCAGTGGTCTTCCTCCCTCAGCGATATTTGTTCATCAAAGCTTAACTCCACTGTTCACATCCAAAAGGTACGGTTCATCATCATTTTCTTTGGGTTTAGGGGTTTCTCTGAAATTGGTCTAGGGTTTATGAGTTTCTATGAAATTAGTTTAGGGGTTTCTCTGAATTTGGTTTAGGGTTTATGGGTTTCTCTGAAATTGTTTGATTGTGATGATTCCTTGTTTGAAACAGTGAAGGAGTGTGTTCTTTGTTCTTTGTTTGAAAATGTTGTTATTGGTATCGTATTGTTGTTTTATTGCTATTTTATTATGGTTTTATTCCTGTTCCATTGTGGTTTTAATGGTTTTGGTGATTTATACAATTTGATTCTGTGTTTGTTTGTTGTTTTGTTTCATCCAAAGAAGGGAAATTGATAATGTCAGTTAATTGAGTTCAGTTTTCACTTATCACTTGGGAATTCACTGTGCTCCTTAATTACGTCAGGAAATCCTTTCTATGAAGATGCACACATCGAAGCTGTGCTAGAGGTGCTTTATATGGTCATCCATCCATTTTGATAGAGTTATTTGGTTAGGTATTCTGTGTAGTAAGGTGAAATCTTTTTCAAGGTCTTCGGCCATGTTGTACATGGTGAAATGTAATATTGTACAGTTGGTGGCGGTGGCTAATTGCCTTACATGGCACATAAACTGTTTCCATTTTTGGGTTTTGTTTTCTAGTTACAATCGTGCTTAGCATACTTACTCTTTAGATTGTGAAGTTCAACTATTTCATACTGTTCGATATATAAACATACTTGCTCTTTATGGAGGTATAACAGTTTATTTGTTTGAAACGACGTGTTCGTTTCCACTGACTTCTACTCTTTTTTGTTTCCATTTTTGACATTTGGTCCATGTAGTTTTCTTCATTTTTCTATCCGAAATCCAATCATATATAGAACACAAAATTTGCGTAATGGGTAGAAAACTTAAAGGTCTAAAAATGGACATATGGCAAAACTGAAAAACAGAGGAAGTGCATAATTCGTTTCTGTCTAAAAAGCAATAAAATGGCAATACCTTGGTGATACAGTAGCGATATAGTGGCGATAAAAGGGTGCTAGAAATTGCTATTTGTGTTTATTTTGGGTTTCTTATTTTGTTTCATTTCATTTACTTATCTTTACTCATTACTAGTTAATAATGGGATGATTACAAGATTAATTTGTGTCAATTATTAACACAAGAATTATGTTTACACCATAATCAATCGAGCATATCCAGCCTCAAAACAAGGCAGCCACACCTTCTCCCCTACTGAAGGAAGACACTCTTCCGAGGTGCCAAGCACCTGCCGAAGCTCCTGACTACCGAAGCTCCCAAATTGCCAAAGCTACTCTACATGACACGTGTCACCACCACAGCGACTTGCACAAAGTCCCACATTGAAATTCTATGCAAACCTCCCACTTTCACCTCCCTATAAATAGGGAATAGTATCCATGTGAAAAGGGGACTCTCTCCACTTAGAAGAGGATCCAGGTCTTGGAACTTGATCCTTGGGCCTTGGACTCTCTCTTCTCGATCCTGGGTTGAGCTTTATCTTTAGTCATGGGCTTCCCTCTTCTTATCTTTATACAAATATAATCGTACATTATTATACTGAGAACATACTTCTATTGGGATATTTTTTGTCCGAAGGCTCCTCCGAGCTTTGTCGATTCTTGGATCGCCATGAATGAAGACTTCGTTGCCCCTTTGTCTGAGTTAGCGAGAACTAGGCCCAAAGTATCCTGAGGGAGAAGCAAGTCCTAGAGGAGTACTTTGTTTTTCTTCCAGCGGCTGCGTGTTTTGTGCTGATGTTTTCGGCAGCTTGACGAAGAGTTGAAATGGTGTATTGATGTTGCACAGGCTTGGCATGAGAGTTTGCTTGGTGAATCAAGGTACTACTAGGCTTGGCATGAGAGCTTAGAGTGTGGGAGCTAAAGACCCACAAGTTTAGCAAATGAGAATGCATGTGCTTGGCTTGGTGTTAGATATGCTTGAGTTTGGGTGTTGATAATCTGTTGTTTGTGACTATGGCTATGGGGATTTGAGAGTTTCAAGAAAAGGAGAATGAGAGGAAAAGCTTGAGGTTTGAAGGCCATGGTGTTTATAGCTTGAAAGGAGGAAAAAAGCTTGGGATTATGCTTGGTGAGGCTTTATGGAGAAGATGATGGATTTCAAGGGTGAGGAAGTAAAAGACATGGTTGTGATGGCTGAGGAATGACTGTGAAGGCTACTAGAATTTGCAACAGCTAAGGAAAGTGAGTTCTCATGGTTACTGAGAATCTTGCAGCAACCAAGAGGGGTTGATGGCTGCTGGGATGCTTGCAGCAGCCGAGTGAGGAGTGTTGGCTGAAGAAAAATTGGTGCCCTTTGCTTGAGCCATGAATGCCAATTTATAGAGGGTGAGGGTTTTCCTTTATTTCCGATAGGTAAAGGGAGGTGCTAGAACCAGCATATTTCCAGTGGTTAAAATGGAGCACTGGGGCATACTATTTTCCAGCATGTAAAGCTAGGTACAATAAACTAATTATTTCCTATGGGTAAAAGGAAGCACTGGAAACTGCTTGTTTCCAGTGGGTAATAGGAAGTGCTGGAAAAGGCTTGTTTCCAATGGCTAAACACTACTACAAAAAGTGACAAAGACGACCAGAAAAAAACAACGGTCTAAGGGAAAACCGTTGTTGTTTTTTAAAAGACGACGGTTCTATAAAACCGCCGTGTAAGAACAACTTAAACACCTAAAAAATGGAGATTCCAACGGTTGTTTCTAAAAAACGACACACCTAATTAAAAAACCGACGTCTTATTGAAATAGGATTTCCGCAGAGTAAAATCTATACAAATTTATAAATAAACCCAATCCTAGACATGTATTTATAAAAAAAATCAAGTACTATTTAAACATAGAAACACACCCAAAATCAACCCCAAAGTCAACTTTTTGGGTGTGTTTATAAATGGGTTTTGAGTGAGTGTAATGATGGGTTTTGGGTGTGTTTATAAAGTGTTTTGGGTGTTGGGTTTTTTTTATAATTTCAACCTCCATTTTGGGTGTTTTAGTGAAACTCCCTAAAATCTAAGCCAACAAAGAACGGCATAAGGTATGAATAGACCGACGTAGAAAGTAAAGACGACGATGTCAAAAAAAGCGGCTGTTTTTACTCAGAAATTAACACGACCAAGTTTTCGTATAAAGCGGCGTATAATTACAAATAAATCCACGGCGGTTTAATATAAAATACCGCCGTATTAAATTAACGTACAACTACGGCAAAGATAAATTTATCGACGTCTTTCTTGTATAGTTCTACGACGGTATCTTTAACTCTCACCACGTTGGGGTTTTTCATTTAACAACGTATTATAAAATTTTACCGTCGTATTTATTCACTTTATACGTTATACCTTATATTTAACCGTCGTCTTAATAAGAATTTTTTTTAACAATTTATTTCTTGGATTTTGTTATCCTACGACGGTTTATATAGAAAACTGCTGACATAATCAGATTTTTCTGAGATCCCAAAGGTTACGAAATCTTACCAGATGGAACTCTGTTCCTCATCATAATCAGACCACAGAAAGACAATATTTTAGAGGTTAATGATGTATGTGTATTTGTGTCTTTGAGATACACAAACGCACATACACATTAACATCCAAGGAAGTGAGAAGGCTAGATGACAAGCTTCTTCTTGAGAAGGCTCCATTTCTCTTTGAGAAAGACAATGTGTCTTTGAGATACACCAAAATGCATACATCGATACATCCAAATTATTATCTTTGAGATGTGAGAGAGAGTGTCTGTGAGAGAGGAAGACGAGCCTCCAGAAGAACTTGGAACCCTAAATGAAAACTGAAACTGAAAGAAAGCGTCAAATTTATACAATAAATCTTTAAAACCCACGGCTGTCCTTACACACAAACCGTCGTTTAATTGTAAACATCCACGTCGGTTATTATTTAATCTACGTCGTATATTATGACATAATCCACGTCGGTATATTACAAAAAAACGACGTGTTAAATCTTTGTACCATGACGCGAGAGATTAATTTATCGACTTATTATTTTGGAGTGTACAATGACAGTACCTACAACACTACTATCGTATTTATTTACCACGTCCTAAGTTCAAATTACTGTCGTAGTTTTTTATTTATACGTCTTCCTTCTCTGTAAACCGCCGTCTTATTTTTATGAAACAGTTTGTGAATATATTCAACTTTTCATCTACCTGACTTACACTTGCACTGTTTCCAAACCCGAGAAAAATTTCAAACTCTGAGAGAAAACTTTTCCTCTTTTTTCCTTCTCAGAGCACTGTCGGTGTATCTCATCGTCTTCCTCTCGTCTTCGTCGTCGTCTCTGAACTTAAACACCAAACTCCGAGAGAAAGCTTTCATTGCACGCAAAAAGGTAAGCATTTCTCACTATTTTTGTTGGGGTTTTGCATGCTCATACGGTTTTTGTTTTGAAAATATTTTTACCTTTTTTCTGGCCAAAATCATTTTAAGTCTTTCCAAGTTTGATAAAATATACAGACAAAGAGGGAAAGTTTTAACTTTGAACACAACTACTTCAACTAAATAAGACGACGATAGCTTCTTATTTACGTGGTTAAATTTATAGACCATGACGGTTCGTCAGTCGTCCTAGCATCGTTTGAAAGTTGTTCTAAGTTGTTTTTAAAATGACCGTCATTTTTTTATTTGCTTGTTTGATTGCAGGTATGATTTCTCTGAACCATGGTTTTTGTTTTTCCTAATTTGATAAAATACAAAGACAAAGAAAGAAGAGTTTGGAACAACTTCACTGTTTTTGTTTTCCATCTTATATAGAAGACGGTATCTTATTATTCACGTTGTGTGAATGTTAATACCATGACGTTATATTAATATTAACGTCATTTGGATTTAAATATCACGACGGAATATAAATATCGCCGTAATAAGTTCTTATTACGTCTTCTGTTATATTGTTTCATCGTTGTTTAAGTACCATCGTTTTAAACGTTTATTACGTCTGATGTTATGTTATTGCGTCGTGTAAAATCTTATCATACGTCGTGTTTTATAAATAACCGTCGTTTGTGTTCTTAATTTTTTCCTGAAATATTTTCACTTGCAGGTTTGATTTGTTTGTAACCATGGTTTCTCAAGACCAAAGTAAGGACTCTGGCTGGAAAAAAAAATGGAGGTAAGGAGCTTAGAATGGTAAATCCTCAAGACAAGTCCTTGAAGAAGATGAAGTTTGTTTCATCTGCTGAGACAGAACCAGCCGACACAACAACATATTCTGAGGATTCAAAGTCAGGTCGAGGTATAAGCACAATGCCTCGTGTTGTGAAGAGAAATATCAGAAAATCAAGCCAATTGTTGAGTACAATAAAAGGGGGAAAGGATGTGGCCCTGCACATACTGAGATGCAGTCCTACATTGGTGTGTTGGCACGCTCCAGAGTCCCACTTGTGGACAAGAAATGGGCTGAAATCCCCAAGGATATAAAAAAACATATTTGGGAAGCCGTTGACATGGCTTTTGTGGTAGGTCAAGGGGGCAAGAACCTGGTGTTATCTTCTGCTGCCAAGAAATGGAAGGATTTCAAGTCTACACGAACGAGGCATTATATCCTTCCATTCATCAAGGAGAGGGAGAAATTAAGCCAACCCCCTGAACTATATAAATTCATAGAGAAAGCAGAATGAGATGCCTTTGTAGCTTCAAGGTTATCCGAACAATTTGTGTCTGTGCATTTTCAACAATCACAGATTAGGGAGAAACTTGAGTACAATCATCGATTGTCTTGAAAAGGATATGCTGGTTTGGAGGATCAATTGGAGGAAACCATGCCCGGGATAGAAATTGATCGATCTACCTTATGGAAGAAAGCTAGACAAGACAAACATGGTAACATCCCGGATCCAAAGGTGGCAGAGAAAGCAAAATTAATTGTAAGCCTAATCACTCTGTTTTAAATTTTTATTAAACTGTGTATTGCCCTGATAATTCTTATTATGTCTTATGTTATATTTTTGCGTCGTGTGAATGACATTACTACGTCGAGATGTTCTAAAAAACGTCGTTAAAGGTTTGAATTTGGAATCGCTACTCTGTTTTTTGCAATTATAGCATAAGACGTCGGTGGTTTATTTATTGCATCGTTTGAAACTTCTAACCACGTCGTTAGTTAAGTACCGTCGTGATAAATTTATGATAACGCCGATTGCTATGTTATTGCGTCGTGTGAAATTATATAATACGTCGTTTGTTTACAAATAACCGTCCTGTGTTTTCTTGTGCTGACTTTTTTTATATATCTTTGTTTTAGGATGAATTGCAAAAACAAGTCTCTGAAGGCAGTCTTACTGTATCTGGCAGTAATGATGTGTTGACAATGGCTTTGGGTCCCGAGCATCCAGGGAGAGTTAGAGGGGTAGGTGCTGGGATTTCCCTAGGCAATACTTCAATTTACCTAGACAATAGAGGGTAAAGTTTGCTGATCAATTAAAGGAAAGTGTAAGACTTGTCCTTCAAGAAGAGACTTGTCCTTCAAGACGTCGTTATTATGAATCAAACCGTCGTTTGAAATACATACCACGACGATTTTATTAATAAACCGTCGTTTGGATTTCAATACCACGTCGTATTTAGTTTACTTGTATTACATGCCATTAGACGTCGTTATTTTTGAAAACTTTTATGGTGATTTAGACGACGGTTTTAGTCCTTACCGATGTAATAGATAAATCCCCACGACGTTTATTATTTACCATCGTTTAATGATTTTAAGACGTCCATAATTCTTACATACCGTCTTCTGTTATGCCTTACCACGACGTTTTGATTTAATTTTTTTACTTTCTATACAATCTGTTAATAAAGAAATCTAGGGATTTAGAAAAGCAAGATGAAGAAAAGAAAGATGAAAAGCAAGATGAAAAGGTAAATTCTCATAACTTTGCCTTTTTATTTGTTTTTCAAATTTCAGACGTCGATATTTTCTTTAAACCGTCGTTTGTTTTAAATTTCCACGGCAATTTTGTTTTTAATTGAATTTTTACATTGTTGTACAAGCTTTCTTATATATCTCTATTTATTTATTAAAACAGAAATCCAGTGGTGGAGAAAAGGAAATTGTGGTAAATTCATTATCTATGAATTTTGGCGTTTTAACTAGACGTTGGAATTTTTTTCTACGACGTAATAAATTATTACCACGACGGTTTTTTTTACCGTCGTTTGAATTGTTTATCAGACGACGTTTTTTTCTTTAAACCGTCGTGTTTATTGAATTACCATGTCATTTTATTTTGCTTTATTTCTTTAAACAGAATATAGAAGTAGTTGATTATTCAAAGCTGGAGGTGCCATCTTCTTTACAATCCCTTTGTCGTTATGTGGAAACGACACTAAAGACTCAGGAGAAGATTATGACCTTTACAATTGAAAAGGAGGTGTTTGGTGAAGATCGTAGTACCTTCGTCTTGCATGAAGATATTACACAGATTGCAGGCATGGAAGAAATTGGGGCTACTGTGGTTGCAGTATATATGAGGTTTGTCCTTATCAAATATTTATTTCAGACTCACCTTTGTGTTGAAAAAAAAAGTCATGTGATCATTTCATATATATATTTAGGTGCCTATTTGATAATTTGAAAACTGCAAATATGTTGAACATGGTTGGCTTTATCGACCCTGCTCAAGTTAGTGCCAACGTTGGGTCATTAACTGAGAGATCACGTTTGGTAGCTAATCGACTTCAAAAGACAGATGGTGAACAGATTTTCATGATGCCTTACAATCCAGGGTTAGTCTCCTTAACATGATTTTGTTTGTATGATGCACTGCGTATAAAATTGTTTAACCTTTATATTAATTTTGTGTAGCCGTCATTGGGTCTTGTTCATTGTGAGAGTAAAGAAGGAAACTGTCTATTTTCTAGATCCTCTGCCCGGAAATCGAGTGGTTGATGAGGAGGCCAAAAACATATTGAATAGTGCTATCAAAATGTATAATTCACACATAGGCAGACAAGGCCGTAAAGCAACCATTTGGAAAACTCTGCTAGGCACACCAAAGCAACCAAGTAGTGTAGAATGCGGCTATTATGTCAAGCACTTCATGAGAGACATCATCATGGATCCTTCCCTGGAGTTTGAGAAGACGGTAAGAAGAAAATTTTCAGATTTATTTTATGTGGTTTTTTGTATTATCAACGACGGTCATTTAAAATTACTGTCGTTGCATCGATATACTATGTCGGTTATGAAAAATAGCATCGTCTGTGATTGAATTTCTGTTTATTTATAAAGCTTAATAATCATTGTTTATGGATTGCAGTTTGCGAAGGGAAAAGATCAAGCGCCATACCCCTAAGCAGCCATTGATGAAGTCAGAAAGAATGGGCAGAGTTTGTTTGCCTTCATATGGAGTAAAGGATTTTTAGAACACTTGAATTTTTATATAATGTACAAATTTTGTCTATAATATACATCCTTTTTTCCCTGAAAATTTGTTGAGGTTTTCGTAATTTAAAAAAAGAAATTGCATAACCGACGCGTAATAACGTTCCAACGAGATAATTATGACAAAAACCGTCATCTTATGGAGTACAAAAGTTTGTAAAAAAATAAAACGAGAGGAATAAAAAACACGACTGTACATTACAGATGACGTCTAAAGGAGTATAGGTGACATTTAATGCATGTTCCATTTATTACAACCGAAGTTGTAAAAAATAACAACGTCATCATTTGAAACAAATCTGACGTAAAAGGATATTTAGACGACAGCGATGACGTGGTAATTAAATTACACGGCGACACCTTTTAGTTTAAGTCGTGATATACCATTTGTATGTCGATGCGACGTCGTTTGAGTGAAATTTCGCCGTGATTTCGCTTTTAAACGACGTACTTTTACAAGTAAGTCGTTTATTAAATTTACAACGTCGTTACTTTCTTAACGCGGACGTGGTTTGTTGGTGTTTGTAGGAATATTTTATTCTATTTCATTCAAAGTATTCATAATAAATTTAAAATAGATAAAAAAATGCAATATCAGCTCCTATGAAGTCATTGATATATTTTCTTCCCCCTAAAGCTTAAAAAAATGCAGTTTGAGTAATACAAATTTAAAATGACCACCCAAAAAAAAATTGTTTTGATGAGTCATAACATCACTTATAGTTTGATGGTTTAGGGTTTAGGGTTGTTATATATTAGGGTTTAGGTTAAAGGATAATTTTTGGGATTTAGGGTTTATGGTTGTTATATATTAGGCCGTAAAACCATAAACCCTTTTCTAAAATTATATTTTAAAAATATATAATTTAGGGTTTAGGGTATTATTTTTTAACGACGGTGTTTATGTTTTCAGTCGATGATTTATGAAGTGCGATTTCTAAACCGGCGTTCCTTTAAAATGATTGTACACAAATAACAACGTCGATTTCAAAAAAAAAAAAAAAAAAAAAAAAAAAAAAAATGTTAAAAGGTTTAAACGAACGCTATTGGTTCAGTAGACGACGTGGTTGACGTTTGAAATAAACGACGGTAAGTTCAGTGTCTGTGTCGTGGAATATAGATTGTACGTCGGTTTTGGTGAAACTTCCGCCATGGTTTTGCTTTTAAAACGACGTCCTTTTTACAAGTGAGTCGTTTATTATGATTTACAACGTCTTTAATTTCTTAACGTCGACGTGGTTTGTTGTTGTTTATAAGAATATTTTATTATTTTTAATTCAAAATATTCAAAATAAATTTAAAATAAATCCAAAAAATGCAACGTCAACTCCTATGAAGTCATTGATATATTTTCTTCCCCCTAAAGCTTAAAAAAATGCAGTTTGAGTAATACAAATTTAAAATGACCACCCAAAAAAAATTGTTTTGATGAGTCATAACATCACTTATAGTTTGATGGTTTAGGGTTTAGGGTTGTTATATATTAGGGTTTAGGGTTAAAGGATAATTTTTGGGGTTTAGGGTTTATGGTTGTTATATATTAGGCTGTAAAACCTTAAACCCTTTTCCAAAATTATTTTTAAAAAATATATAATTTAGGGTTTAGGGTTTAGGGTATTATTTTTTAACGACGGTGTTTATGTTTTCAGTCGATTTACAAAGTGTGCTTTTGAAATCGGCGTTCCTTTAAAATGACGTTGTACACGAATAACAACGTCATCGATTTAAAAAAAAACGTAAAAGGTTATTCAAACGACGCTATTAGTTCAACAGACGACGTGGTTGGTTTGAAATAAACGGCATTAAGTTCAGTGTCTGAGTCGTGGAATAATTATTTTATGTCGGTTTTGGTGAAACTTTCGCCATGGTTTCGCTTTTAAATGACGTACTTTTTACAAGTAAGTCGTTTATTAGGATTTACAACGTCTTTAATTTCTTAAAGCCGACGTGGTTTGTTATTGTTTATAAGAATATTTTATTATTTTTAATTCAAATAATTCAAAATAAATTTAAAATAAATCCAAAAAATGCAACTTCAACTCCTATGAAGTCATTGAGATATTATCTTCCCCCTTAAGCTTAAAAAAATGCAGTTTGAGTAATACAAATTTAAACTTACCACCAAAAATAAAATTGTTTTGATGAGTCACAATATCACTTACAGTTTGATGGTTTAGGGGGTTAAAGGAATATTTTTGGGGTTTAGGTTTTTTGGTTTATATATTTTTGGCCTTTTCTAAAATTATTTATAAAAAAATAATAATAATTGTGTTTGCTTTATTAGGGTTTAGGGTTTAGGGCATATTTTTTTTATTTAATTTTCTGTTCATTCCACCCATCGTGCACGAGTTTGAATCCCAGCAAAACCAAAACCCAATTATGTAATTAGTTTCTCATACGTCAGTTTTTTTTTTGCGTCGTAAGGAGTTACCACGACGCATTTTGTGTAATAAGCGTCATATTTCGTTTTTAGTTTTGACGACGGGTTTTTGATTTTGCGTCGTACATAGTTTTACCACGACATCTTTAATGTAATAAGCGTCATGTTTAATGTGAAATTTTAACGACGGTTTTTTTTTTCCGTCGATGTTTTAAAGAGCGCGCTTCCTAAAAAAATTCACGGTGACCTAAAATTTTCAGATTTCGCTCTAAATCCCCTTAACATTTCGCTCTCTCACTTCAACTCTAATTCAAAGTTGGGCTCTCCAGGCTCCGTCGAATCCAAGTAGGCCATAATCTGTGAGCTCTGCATACCTGTAAGTACAAACCCTTATCTTCCCCTTGTAAATTCATTGAATGATATTCAGTTGTTTTGTTAAAGGGTTTTAGATATATGTTTTGCGATCTTTTAATAATGTTGTTAGATGTATGTGTTCATGGATTTTCTGTTTAATGTTTTCATGATCAATCAATAATGGATTTAATGTTGTTGGATTTTTAATCGCTCTCTGTTATGTTGAATCTGGAATGGATTTATTGTTTTCATGCTTAGTATATGTTGGTTTCATGCTCAGTATACATGTTCTTAATACCCAACATAAAATTAATGTATATGTTGTGTTCTTAATAGGGTTTTCGGTTCTTGAAAATAAACTGGGATCTCGACGCTTTTTTAGGCATACGACGACGGTTTTTTAATAAACCGTCGTCTGTATTATTATACCCGACGGTTTTCTTTAACTACCGTCGTAGTTAGAATTAGACGGCGTTTGTTGAAAATCCGTCGTCTATATATGTCCAATTTTGTTTAAAAACATCGTCTGTATAATATATTACGTACTATTAAAACTTTATATAATCTGCTATAGTGATGGTCATTGCTTGTCTTTTCACTTTATTATAGATAATAGGGTATAGTGTCAGAGATGGATAAGTCATGGATGCACTCGAATAGAAGATCGAAGGCATATGAGTTAGGGGTGGAAGCATTTTTGAAATTTTCTGTAGAAAATCTTCTAACTACAACACATATCCGTTGTCCATGTGTTAAATGTGTGAATTTGAAATTGTTTGGGGTTGGAATTATAAGGGATCACTTATACTTTAATAGAGTTGACCAAAGCTATAAGAATTGGACATTTCACGGAGAACCTTGGGAAGCAACTAATGCTAGTAGAAATGTTGAAGAAGATGATGACCATAGTAGGTACAGTTTTGTGTCTGAAGAAATAGAGATGGATGATAATGATTTTGGTGATTTTGGATCCGATCCTTATGAGTTTGCCAATGTGATTGGGGATGGAGATCAACCATTGTACCCTGGTTGTAGAAAGTACACGAAGTTATCGGCATTAGTGAAGTTGTATAATTTGAAGGCAAAACATGGGATGAGTGATGTCTGTTTTACAAAATTATTGATACTTCAAGGCGATTTGCTTATAGAGGAAATACAATACCGGCCTCTATGTATGAGGCAAAAAAGACTTTGTGTGCATTGGGGCTGAGTTATGAGAAAATGCACGCATGCCCCAATGATTGCATCTTGTATAGGAAGGAGTATGAAAATTCAACTAATTGTCCTACTTGTGGTATCTCAAGGTGGAAGGAAGGCAAAGATTCAATCTTGAAAGAGGGTGTGCCAGCGAAGGTGGTGTGGTATTTTCCTCCAATTCCAAGGTTTAAAAGGATGTTTCGATCACATGAGACAGCTAAGAGTTTGACTTGGCATGCTGCTAGAAAATCAATTGACGGTCAGATGTCTCATCCGGCGGATTCCCCGTCTTGGAAACTTCTTGATGATAAATGGCCCGAGTTTGGTAATAAGCCGAGAAACTTGAGATTGGCTCTTTCATTTGATGGTTTCAATCCCCACAGTTCTCTAAGTAGCAGATATAGTTGCTGGCCAGTTATCTTAGTTACATATAATCTCTCTCCATGGCTGTGCATGAAACGAAAGTCCATGATGTTGACCTTATTGATTTCCGGTCCTAAACAACTCGGAAATGATATAGACGTCTACTTGAAGCCTTTGATTGATGATTTAAAATCTTTGTGGGATGGGATTAGAGGAGTGTGTGATGCACATAATGGAGAATACTTTACACTCAGAGCTGCATTAATGTGGACAATTAATGATTTCCCCACCTATGGAAACTTATCTGGTTGTGTTGTTAAAGGATATAAAGCTTGTCCAATATGCGGCGATGATACACCTAGTCACAGGTTGAAAAATGGCCACAAATTTGTTACATTGGGCATAGAAAATGGTTACCAATCAATCATCCATATAGGAGGCAACGTGCAGCTTTTAATGGGAAACCTGAATATGGTGCGCCTCCCGAGCCATTAACCGGAGAAGAAGTGCTGCATATGGTTGAAGATGGTGATAGAGTTTGTTGGAAGAAGAAATCAATATTCTTTGATCTCGAGTATTGGAAATACCTTCCTGTGAGGCATGTCCTAGATGTTATGGACATTGAGAAGAATGTTTGCAATAAATATAATTGGTACATTGCTGGAGATCCCTGGAAAAAATAAAGATGGGATTGCTGCTCGATTAGATTTATTGAACATGGGGGTCAAAACTGATTTGCAACCCGAATATGGAGAAAGACGTACTCGTTTGCCTCCCGGGCCTTGGAATTTGTCAAGAGCAAAGAAGAGAGAGGTTTGCAATTCTTTCTATGGTATGAAGGTCCCTGAAGGTTATTCTTCAAATATAAAAAATCTTGTATCTTTACAAGATTCAAGACTTCTTGGCCTTAAATCACATGATTGTCATACCTTAATACAACAATTGCTCCCTGTGGCAATTCGTTCTGTTTTGGAGAAGCCTGCAAGGTATGCAATAACTCCTTTGTGCTTCTTCTTCAATGCTATATGTGCAAAGACGGTTGATGTTTCCAAGCTAGATAAGTTGGAAGAAGATGTAGTAGTTACTTTGTGTTTGCTTGAGAAGTACTTTCCCCCTTCATTCTTTGATATCATGGTTCATCTAGTAGTACGTCTTGTCAGAGAAGTTCGTCTATATGAGCCAGTATATTTTAGATGGATGTATCCGTTTGAAAGATATATGAAAGTGCTAAAGGGGTATGTTCAGAATCGTACTCGTCCCGAAGGTTGCATTGCTGAGCGGTATATAGTTGAAGAAGTTGTAGAGTTTTGTACCGAGCATTTATCTGATGTTAATACAGTTGGAGTGCCTTCAAGCCAAAAGATGGGAGTTTCAAAGCCATTATCAGGTTGCACAGTGAGCGTAGTTAATCAGGACCTGTTGAACCAAGCACATCTATATGTCTTGGAGAATACGGAGGAAGTCCTACCTTATATCGAGTACGTATGAGTTTTATTCTTTAAGTTTCCATTTTAAATTATTTCTTATGTTTATCTTATATGTTTGGGACCGTAATGCTTGAATTTTTCGTGTCATGTAGGCAACATATGATCCACATCAAGAACGCTTATCCAAAATTTAGAAAGAGAACAAAGTGGCTGCAAGATAAGCACAATAGCATTTTCATTCAATGCCTACGCTTCAAGGTATATGTTATTGAATAACATATTGGACTTTTAATTTTCTTCTTTCTATGTTAGATTGAATTGAGATATGATTAATTGGCAGGTTCAAAGTGAACTTAATGAGGAAGACAATCATGGCGCATCAGAAAATTTCAGGTGGCTAACAGCTGGTCCAAACATGGCAGTGCCATCATATATGAGCTATCTTATTAAGGTATTAACTTTAACATCAAGGCACAAGATGATGTGCGGACAACTCAAAATAGTGGAGTTTATTTACTTGCACATACCATGCAAGTTGCTAGTGCCAAGGATAAAAACCCAATTCTCTCAAATATGGGTTTCTATGGTGTCATTCAAGAAATTTGGGACCTTGACTACCAAAAGTTTACAATCTCATTCTTTAGGTGTGATTGGATAGATAGTACTTCTGGTATTGTAGTCGACGAACTTGGATTTACCCGTGTAGATTTGAGTAAAATTGGACATAGGAATTACCAATTTGTTTTGGCTTCTCAAGTCAAACAAGTATTTTTTGTTGACGACCCGATGCATCATGGTTGGCCGGTAGTGTTATTAATGCCTAATAGAGAATATAATGATGTTATTGGTGATGATGTCTTAGGTGATGTGAGAATTGAGTGTGAGCCATTTACTATAGGAATGCCAAATGTTGACACATTTGATGAACTAGTGGGTGAGTTTGGGAGTCAAAATATTCGAGATGGGTGTGAAGATATATGGATTGAATGATGCTTATGTAATTTATGAAATTACTTATGCAGTGTATGACATTAATTTTGTAATATATTGTAATGTGATTTCTTCACTTTCATTATTCAGGTTTTGGCCACAAAACAATCAGTATAAAAAATACTGGTTCAAGATTACAAACACGACAGTCTTGATAAAAATGTGAAAAACATACGTTTGTTGTAATATTCAACGACCGCAATATATTTACCGACGTCTTAAAGCAACGTAACAATGAAGAACCACGACGCTATTGTGAAACAGTTCTTAAGGATATCACGTCGGAGAAGCGTAAATAGCCGCCATGTAATTCCAAATAACACGACTTCAATCCCATAATACCGACGTCTAAAAGACGAGATATCTAACCTGAACGTTACAAAAGACGACGTCTTCGATTATGAACTCGTCCGTGTCAAATCAAAAATCGTCGTCTTAATTTTACCACGTCGCTTGTTTTCTCATAAACGAAGTGGAAAATGATTAATTCACGACGGTACTTGAAAAACATTGGTAAATTTGTCGACGTTAAGATATATTTGGACGTCGTTCCTTTAAAAAAACAACGTTATATGAATGTTCCACGTCTCTTTTCTTATGATCATGTCGTTAAAATGACTTTACATGGCGAATTTCGGGTAAACCACGCGGTCTCATATACATTAAACGACCGAAATTTTAGTAATGATGACGTATAAATTCTGAAACACGGCTGTCTTTTACATGATAATGACGTTGTACATTGATGACAACGTCGTCTGTATAAATGAATGTGTCGTAAGTAATGACCACAACATATTTTCCACGTCGTTTATTTTCAGATCATGTCGTTAAAATTGTTTTACACGGCGATCGACTGAGAAACGTTGCCGTTTCAGATGCATTAGACGACGATTATATTTTAAAAGATGAAGTATAAATTAATTAATACGGCTCTTATTTATTTGGACCCGACATTGTTTATTGAGTACAACGTCGTCTGTAGAAATACATGCGTCGTAAGTAATGACCCTAACATCTATTTCCACGTCATCATTAATAGAAAAATCGAAGTGGAAAATTTATTTCACGATGGTTGTATAAACTGTAGTGACGTATTAGGAATCAATAACATCGTCGATTATGTATTTAAAGAAGTCATAGTTTTATGTGTCGTGAAAGGTATATTTAACGGCTGTGAGTTTTAGTTCTCGTCGTTGTATGTATATCTTGCGGCCATGTTCTGTTAAAATATGTCATATGTTGCCTTTTAAACAACGTTTTTTTGTTAGAATTTGTCGTCTATTCTTATCCTTGACTGTTTTTTTAACTCTCTTTTTTCAATACACAGACTTCGGTTATTATTTGTTAATGATGTTGTTTGTTTTAACAATGGTGATTTATCATCGTGATTTGATTTGGGAAAAGATTTCGGTCGATTTCACGACCATTTGAAAACGGAATACACGATGGTGAATTCCCGTCATCTTTTGCCTTTTTTGTAGTAGTGAAAGCTAGGTATTTGGAAAATGACTATTTCCTATAGGAAAAAGGAAGTGCTTGAAAAATATCTCACTTGCTCACCCACATTAGGAGAACTCTAAGTAATGGGCTTGGACTTTGGTGCTCCCAAGTAGCTAGCCCAAAGTCTCCATTATCCAAGAGCTTTCGTGGGCCTTGTAGACCTCCGTAACCTTCCACACCACAATCCCTCATGCAAGCCCCGTAAACCACATGACTTGGGTTCATGTGAGCTTGATAGGTGATCGGCATGGAAAAAATGTATTATTAGTTTGGCATGGAATGTACACTATTTCTATATTTATTTAATGAATTAAATCCCAAAATACAACTTGGATTAATGCATGACCGACATTATATGTTATATTGGGCTTTAAATGCTTTTGGGCTTCCCATGACTTTCTTGGGCCTCAACAACTTCTCCGTGGACGTAGCCCATTCATTAAGGGTGAACCACGCATATCTGTCTTCTTTATATTTATCGCTTGCCCAAATATTCACACACATGCTGAAGGTCCTCACCTTCACCCATCATCCACCATTCCACATCTATCTAAGTTGACCTCTCAAAAAGTGCATCAATAAATTACATATATGAAGATTAAGCCGAACAACATCCATTTCAGACTGCATTTTAGACATGCAAAATAAATCGCCACCGAACCCTAATTAACAATACTATCCCGTGAAGGGAAAACCAAGGCTACACTTTTAGATCGCTTCATAAAAAATTTGACCTCATCATCGTCCTCGATCTTTATGTGCTTCCACTCATTCGAGGCCACCAAAATTGAGAACTTTAAGCAAACCTTATCTTCCCTACTGTTTGTATTACTAATCTGATGCACACGATCCAACAGTTCAGCAAATGTGATGGTTCGTGGAACTATTAAGCCTTTTGAGTCACCCCCTTCGTATTTGCACATCTTCTTTGAGGTTACCCATTTTCCATTGTAGCAAACCAGAATAATAATTCTCCCCATTTCTGACCGTGAAAAAAATTATTTCATTAACACAATACAACCACAATAATCAGGCAATACAATGACAATATAACAACAATATAACATCAATATAATAGCAATATAACAGCAATACTATAGCAAATTAATAGGAACACAACAGCAATACAACACTAACACAGTAGTGAACAAGGATTCATCACAATCACACTATACAAATCCACTACATCAAATGGAAAATCTAAAGTTTCAAGATTCATATATCCAGAGCAATCTAAATGCAATTGGTAAAAACCCAGATGGATGAGCATGAAGATTCAAAAACCTAACCCAAAAAAATTACAGCCAAAACCAATTTAACAGAAACCCAAGCAATCAAAATAAAACCAATTTCACATAATCCAACAGATATTAAGAAAATAACCATCAACACTATCTATTCGAGGTCGGCGATCCCGTAGAGCTTCAAGGTTGCAAGCAGCTATTCAGAATACATACCTAAAATATGGGGTCGAGGGAGGGGTTCGTGATTCAGAACAGAGAGCAAGACAGAGAGAGAGAGAGAGAGAGAGAGAGAGAGAGAGAGAGAGAGAACCAAATTTCTGAAAATGTAATATGGGTGCAATCAATCGACAATAAAGATGTATTTATAGGTGGTAGTTTTAAAAATTTTAGATAGGGGTGGTATTTTTACAAAAAATAATAAAATGGGTGGCATTTTGAGCTATTTCCCTAAAAGTTTTGGCCCTAGAAAATATCTCATCCATCACCCTACTTTTTTGAAGCCCTTTTTCCCCCCCCCCCCCCCCCCCCCCCTCTCTCTCTATGTCTCTATTGCAACCATTTACTGAATTTCTTTTTTGATTCTATAGATTGAGCTTGATATAGTTAGGGCTAATTTAATATTGTTGTGCTGTGAAAATAATCGTTGTCAGATTTGCTGTGAAAGAAATCAGTTGTGGGAGAAAGCAGTTTGGCGTTTGATAAACTTTTTATTAAAAGTGTTGTTGGTACTAATTCTCTCATAATCAAAAAATAATTCCCCCACATAATCATTAAACTTAGTGCCTCTTCGAAACTAATTCTCGTATAATTAGAAAATGAAAGCACCTCATTAGCTATTTTCCCTTATAATTTTCTCTCACAGCAATTTTTAACAATAAGTGATTTTCTCATAGTTTACCAAACGGGGCTTCCCAAATTTTTTTTAAAAAATCACATATCATCCCAAATAAGCAATGCTAAACGGGCACTTGTTCAGTGTTGTAACTTTTGCTTAAGTAATGTTGCTACTATCTCATTCTAGCTTTTGATTGATTTCTTTTGTGCGTGATAGTGGAGGACAAGTATTGCTGTTGGTGCTTGCTTTGATTATCATCCACAACAAAAGGAGCCTAGAAGAGAAGGAAAGAGAAAAGGAAAAGCTGCTCTTCCCAAAGTGAGTTGTCTTTTAAAGCAAAATTGTGTTTTCTGTTTCGCATGTTGTTGTTAGCATTGCAATGCCTCAATTGCATCTACTTTATTAAAGTTTAAATTGAATGATATGCTGTTTTTAATGTTCGGAAATTTTAGGAAAAGTACAAATTTGAAAAGGAGAAGGCTTACTTTCAAGAGGTTGATGCCTTTGAGTTGTTGGAAGAGAGAGAGGAGGCTGTGGGTGGTTGAGAAACAGAGAGAGGGAGAATATAGGCGGCTGTGGTGGAGAGATAGTTTTAGGTGTTTTTGTTTTTTTTTTTGGGTATATTTTTATTATATATAAATACATTGGACACGAATGAATAATTTGTGTGCATGTGCAAAAGTCAAATTAGATTAACAAAGCCACATAATGCCACATACGTGCCCAAAATTGTTGAATTGTAGGGCACGAAAAAGAAAAATCGTGCCTTTTGATCAATGAAAACTCTTATAAAGGAAACTGACTAATTTATTGTGATTGCACTGTGGCAATTACCATAGAGCACGAATAATATTATGCCTTTTTGGGCTAAAGAGCACAAACAATGTTGGTGGCTAAAATCAGATATTGTAGTACCGTACGATCAGAAAAACACTTCAATACCACAAATTACACAAAATAAAGGACAAATGATCACTATTAGGAGGTTTTATTTTATATATAATATAAAATTATATTACGATACCGGAGAATATCAAATATTTTATTCAAAGAAAAGAAATTACATGACTAACAATACTCAATAATGATTTGTCATTTAAACAGCATAAAGCTCACAATGCTGCTAATTTTGGTTTGGGAGGATCAACCAAGCAAATGTCAAGGAAGCTGTCAATGGAAGTGTACTTGTAATCCGGATATAACTTGGAGGCCTCTAGGTTGTTTTCTGTGAATTCATAAACTTGACCTATGACGAATATATCGTGGGCAATGGACGCACGTACATTGTCAGCGTGAGGGAGTGCTGCAAGGAAGAAAGAAAGCAAAAGAGAAAAAAAAAACATCATTACCACAAATACATAATGTTTCTTCCTTCCATATTTAGATAACTAAGTAGATTATAGCACTCAAGCGCTACCCGGTTAGTAAGTTAAATACGGTGTTTGATAAGTTGTAGATGGGAATTCTCACTCTTTGAGTATTCGATCAGTTGTTGTGCGGAGACATAAACCCTTTTAAGAGTGCGTCCTGTCTTCTTCTCCCAAAGAGAAATTAAATCCAACTGAGATATAATGTTTCCTTGTGGTCTACAAGTGATGGTATTGTTGGCTGCCCTTGGATCTGTTGCTGCTTTTATTGTGTAGGCTGCTATGTCTTGCTCGTAATTCATCACGGCTAGACATGTACATAAAAAACAAAACAAAACAAAAATCATATTTTCTCGCAAGCATATACTTCTGATTATTCATTTCAATTGACAGTTTTATTCAAGAATAAAATTTTGTGCAGCCAAGGTGGGCCAAAACTTTCCATTTAGTCGTTGAGGTGAGGTTGCTTTATTTATATTTATTTTTACGTAAATAAAACCACCTAGAAAATAGAACATTATTTCATTGTGCATCAGAATGAAAAAATTAAAAAAAAAGAAGATAAAATAATATATATATAGTATGACTGTCAAGCTTATACCCTTGGCTTCACCAGTGCCATAAACAACGACTTCGTCCCTTTCCTCATGAGGATTAAGCAAATAACTAACAAAATAGGATCCAAATGTGTTTCCACACACATAAGTGTGGGGAATTTCTGCTGCTTCTGTAGCCCTTCTAATCTTCCTTCTATCCTCATGGATAGCCTCAAAAAGCGCCAGTGTACTTTCTCTTGCTGGATCATTTCCAAACTCTGATGGGATAAATCTCTGTTTTTAACAATTACAATAACTATAATAGTTAGGTTGAAGTGCACATACTCAAGTAGGCGATATATTTTCACGAGTACGGGTAATATTTTCTTATCAGACTTATGATTATATTACGAGACGCTGTGAATGTGATCACACATTCGAATAAGAATCAGTGGTTCATATTCACAGCCTGACCGCAATATAGCACTTATCGTCTTTTCACCTTTATATTGCCTGCATCTTTGATGGCATTGATAATTTTGAACTGTTCAAGAAGTTGAGGGATAGGCAGCGTAGATATTACAACATCAACTTGTTTTAAAGCCGCAACTAGCTTTTCATGCTCATCCAGTTCACCCTGTTGAATTGGCAGTAAAAAGCAGAATATAATTAGTAGAGTTTGGCCAATTAAATTAAGAAAATGAGAGATTAACATTAATTTAATTACTTGGAAGATGGTGAGCCCCATGGCTTCAAATTCTTTGAGCAGCTCAAGCCTGGAAGAGTCGTTGCTGGGTTTGATTGGCCGAACGTAGGCATAGGTTGGATGGCCCAAAGAAAGGCTTGCATTCACCATGAATTTGCCAAGATACCCTGTGGCTCCAATTATCAGTATCTTACTCTTCTCGTCCGAACCCATGGCTTCTTCTTCAGTAGTACTTTTCTGATGAGCAGCTTGTTTTGAAATCTGGGAACCGATTAAACATCCTTATATAAGAAAATGATGGCATGGCATGACTTGGATGGCATGGCATGACATGGTTTGGTCCAAGGACAGACCGTCCCTATGACTAACCCGGGCTATACTCCAGGCAAATTTTATTTTATTATTATTATTATTTTTTTCCTAGTCTAAAATAGCAAACCCAGCACACCTCCCCCAAGTTCCAATCAACCGACAGATTTAAATGTAAATGGACCTCACAGATTTAATACATTGACTTGGTGGACTTGCGTGTAAGGCACCTTCCCTTTTTAGTTCCAAGCCGCTTGGTTGGCATGGAGCCACGTGATTCTGTGAACCACAGGACAGAGTAACTTGAATTTTTGGAGACCAGTATGCATCCAAGCCACGTCATTCTGAAACCACAAGACAGAGTAACTTAAATCATTACAGACCAGTTTGTACAATTCCTGACCAGATAATGGCCCGTTTGGCTATGTAATAATTTGGATTTGAATTAAGAAAGTTTACAAGTTCCTGTAGATTGTCGGTTTTACCACTTTGGTCTTCATAGTTTCAATTTTGTCAATTTTATTTTTATAGTTTTAATTTAGAGCAATACAAGGAATGTTTTAATTTCTGTCAAATTCCCCCAAATTCCATTAACTTTTGACAACATGGAGAGGTATTTCAGTTTACTAGAGGCATCTAATGGTAAAACACAAGTTGGAACTCTTCTCATTCACTTTAGGCAAGATTTTTGGGTTTAGGGCTTCGAATTTTTTTGCATATATGGGTTAAAATTTGGGTGAATAGGAGAAATTTGGCTCGATTGGATCAAAACACCCTTCTACCCCTCTAAGTGAAGGGCACGTGATCAGAACTTAATGGAATTGAGAGGAATTTTGACAGAAATTGAAACGTACCCTTAAAGTGATTCGAATTGAAAAGTACAAGAATTAAATTGACAAAACTGATAAATTACAATGATAAAATTGACAAAATTTAAACTACAGAGACAAAAATGATAAAATTGGTAAACTATAAGGATAAACAATAACTTTTAGCCTTGAAGACTTGAGATTCAAACCTAGATTGGAATCACTGTAATTCGTTTTATTGTTGTGTTATATTGCTCCATTTTTTAATCCTCGCGCTCCCTTAAAGAATGAAATCATATTTTTATAAGTTAGTTTTTGACTTTAATAGAATTCGTTTAGTACTTGTTTATATTGCTTGCAATCCTCGTGTTAATAGTATTACATTGTTTAAGGAAACTCGTGTTATTCATCACCTTAATAAGTGTTGCATCACCACAATACTTGTGCCACACCAGTTTTCCTTTCTCCCTTTGTTATAATTTTTCATTCTACATTTCGGGCATACGTATGGTGTTGTATTTGTTTTTATTTTTAAGTGAAATTCTATTATGTTTTGGAATTTTAATTTTTTTAGGTTAAAATGTTTAGAAAATTAAATCATGAGTATTGAAATAAAAATAATGTCAATAAAAATTAACAATAAAAAAATTAAGAGTTAATCATTCTTAAACAATTTAATAAAGTTGCGGACTCAAATTATGAGTCTGCAAGGTTGGAGGAAAAAAAATTTTGAGTCCTGAAAATACATGAATAGTTGTATTTTAGAGGGTGTAAATTTGAGTTTAGCCCCAACATGGTTGGAGATGGTCTAACAAATATAGATGGATAGAGAGAGGGAGCAAATTAATGAATTGTGGTGGGTTATTATCTTTAAAGAAGGAATTTTTGTCGTTTGTGGGGATTGCCGGTGGCATACAGTGGTGGAGTGACATGAAAGTGACCCCACAGGGAAAACAGGCCCACCCACGGCCCCACAGAAAGCCACAACCCTTGTTCTTCTTCTTCATCTTTTTTTCCCCTACAGATGTGCGCTGCACGCAGCAAAGAACAAAAAAGAATAGGTTGCTCAGTCATTTAATCAAACACTTCGTTGGTAGGAAACTTCAAGACAGACCAAAGCGGCAACTTCCAGTAAAAGGAGATGTAGTTGCATGCAAAAGAGTGACATCTTTAAAACATTCTAGAAGAAAATCCCGTGAGACAAAACTTAGGAAAGAGTAGCTAGTGCACACGTCACAAAATACAGCTCAAAACAAAGAAACTTAAAACCTACACGCGATTCTTCTAGAGCATGATGAATGATGGTAGGTGGATTCCTGTACCATTCATTTCACATGCATTATTTGTGCTCAGAGAAAAATGAGCTAGCCTATCTGCCACTCCATTGGCCTCCCTAAACCCTAAACCCTTCACTGCGTCACCCAGTAAATCCGATAAGTATTCACTAAGGTAGGTTCAAGTCCAAAAGACACCTCTCCTGATATGTGTTATATCTAAGTTTTCTCTCAAATATGCACGTTATAATTTTCCTATACAAATGTGGGGTATTGTTAGAGTTTGTATAGGAAAAAACACTTGCATGTAGTCCCACATTGGAAGAGAGTAGTTTTCTTCCATAGTTTATAAGCACCAACACATTAGAATTACTAAATAGAGTATGGGCCCAGTGGAGGCAAACTTGAGCCTCAACATGGTTTGAGCTTGGATTATATATATATTTGTGTAATAAATATATATATAATTAATTGTCAAAAGATGGGCCTTGGGGCTCTTGGGCTCTGTTGATTTAATTAATAATTTATTTTTATTAATTGAAAA